ACAATGAAAGTCTAATTAATCTCATCTCTTTTTATCAGCCTATTAAAAAATTGTCACCTATTAATAATTGAGTTACCATTATCAAACACAGAATTTTAATGTCCCAAATAGAGATCTACATGACTAATTTGAATGTATTCGTTAAATCATAAGAGAAATAATTGAGTTAGCAGAGGAACACTTTTTTATTTCATGTGTAATCGTTTATTAGAATACTCGTGTAGTGGATTTTGATACAAATTCGATTGCGTAGTTCTTAGTGGATAGTTCTAGAAGGAGCAATTCGATAGAATGTAAAGATTCTAAAAATGGGGTAATTATGAGTAGGTTTAGCCAAAAGGTTGAAATATTGAGAAAATACTGTGAATGACAACTAACATTTGTAAACGAAAACGGTTGTACCAATGTAGGATTTTAAGGACTGTTAAATTTCATCCAGATCACAAACCGATGTTAGTTAGGGAACAATTACGAACTTGGAGGCAATGTATTTGACAAAATCCAGTAATCTCCATAACCCTAAAGCCGGTAGCAACCATGTGCTTACTGGAGAATGACTTCGAAAAAACAAACTACGAGAGTTCTAGTGAGGAGCTATTACCCGTGGAGTTCAACCATGTCAACTGTAAATCTGTTACGCACCGAAGACATTTGAAGATGGTCGTGAAATATCGAACTCGCTGAATAAATTTAAACATGTACAATATTAGATTCCGTCACACTATCTTATAGGGTGAGTATTTACGTTCTAAACTGAAAATTCTGAGTTCATTTCTCGGTTGTTGGCTGGTTGACCTGTACCACTAAAAAGTTCAATTTTGTAGCCGAATTGCTGCCCAGTCCTTCTTCTTTTCCAATTGTTGCCTAACTTGGATTGGTTCGTGATTTCAGTAAAAACTGAGCATTTAAATATCACAATTGCTTATTCTAAGGTTTACTTTTAAATATGTTACCGTCTTTCAAAAGTCTCCATTTTCGCGTAAAAACATTTTGTAACATCACCTTAGTACTTCTCAGCTTTCCGCTGGTTAGTTAGTTAAACATGAAATAACTGAATTTAACGCACTTTATTTTAAAGTAGTCTTAGTTTGTTTTTGTTTTAACAGGTAATTACTTACTATCAACTTTATGGTTTTGTACTACTCTCCTGGTAGGTGTTTCTGAAAGTTCTTTTCCATATGTCATGTATTCCCAACATGCAATGTTAGATCTTAATGATTTTTCAATATTTGCTACACCATAACAATGTGTATTGTTGATAACTTATAGCCGATTTGAGTTCCCTGTTGGCATTAATAAGATCTAATTGAAAATTAGATTTATGTTATTCCACATTAATCATAGCCATTTCTGAATTAAAATTAATGAAGAGAACTATGTGTGGGAAGATTATCGTTTTCAAGTTAACTGGGAAAATTTTATATGCTATCATCACATCAACATGTATTTGATGGAACTAACAATAATGTCTATTTCTAGTAAACCTTTTAGTACAAGATTATTTGTGGAGATTGTAGAATGTCCATAGTTCGGATCATTAACTGATCTTAGCTAGATAACGAGCAAAAACCCAGATGCAATAAACTTCCGTTTCATCCCAGTGTATGATTCCTCATCAATAAACATTTATCACTTAGCATGCGAAACTGAAGAATTTAGGCTTGATATTTAGATTCTCTTGGTCGTGGACGTCTACCCTTGAAGAGTCATACACAAAGGGTGAAATGGTCATCCATCGCTTTCAATAATTATCCAGTTATCTAACTAACATTTTTCCGGGATTCAAACTATGAAACAATCATTTAATATTTTAATCTCAGAAACAACTTATTGAATGTGAACTACGTTTATTAAACTGATCATGAAGTGATCCTCATGAAGACGCTGATTGATGCTGATTAAATTATGAAAAGCATTTTGATTATTCTAATGACTAGTGGTACCACCAAAAATTAATTGTATTGATTAATAAAGGGTAATTTTCATAAAAGAATCCACAATGTATTTTTATATTGCATGAATTATTACTGTTGAAGCCTTGACTATACGAAAATTGAAATCCCTCCTATTCGCGCTGAAAGAATTTGTACATACACTAAACATAGTCTGATTTCTTGAACAAAGTGGTGTGATTCACATAATTTTTCTGTTAAGTTTAAACCTGTCCTTTTGACCTTTTATTCTCACATATAGATCTTAATAAGTATATGCATGATCAGATTGTTGGAAGTGTATTCAGCTAATATTTCACATAGTTCTAATAATGTGCACCCTATTACATTATCCAAATGTCACTGGTCAATTTTCCCTCTTTTATCTTAATTTAATAAGCTTCTTTCGATTCTCCAGTTTTTCTACATTATTATTATAAGAATAATAAAGTGATTGATGTAGAATAGACCTGTCACTTGTATATGTATATAAATAAATAAACAAATATATGATTGATAGGGATGTTTTTTAAATCTCCAATCGTATCTATTTTTCCGAAGGGGCTTTGTGGAGATTTAGTATATTTCATAGTTGAAAGCGTGAGTCAATTGAAGCTAAACCACCATGGATCAGTTGAAGTTAGACATTAACACCGTTGGATGCCAGCTCAGTGGTCTACATGTTAAGAGCTTCGGCTCGAGATTGGTAGGTCATGGGTTCGAAACTCGCGGGAGCGGGTTCGTGGATGCGCACTGCTGAGGAGCATCTATTTTCTGTTGGTATCAGTTTCTAAACATGTGAATGAAGAGAATCACGCTGTTATGCGAGAAAAAGTACTGCCTATGCAAAAAGAATCCCGATGAAATTTGGTATCACTAACTGGGAATCATTTTGATTTGAAGATTTATGTACGATTACATATACGGTTGATTTTAGACAGCTTTTGGTGGTAAACTATTGACTCATTTTAAACGAATTGCTTTTTTTTATAACATTGTGTATGAATTCACCTAAGAACTCCTACCGATGAATTGCATATTATGGAGCTTAACGCTAAGCAAATTTGTCTGTCATTAACCCATATAAGTGAAATATAATTTATCTTCTGTTGATGGATAAATTATTTACATATCTTTGTGCTTTATTCTAAATAAATAAAACTAATCAGAGGAGAACCAGAATTAACTAGATGTCCTAGGATTGAGCTTCAGTTGACTTCCTCATGTGAAGCACAAAGTTTGCTTATTTGGTGCTCATCTTCGAGTATTAAGAGGTTGCAAAGGCAAATCAATAATTGAGTTTATGCCTTTCTACATATACAAGCTTCTCCTTTAATTCATAGTCAATAGGTTTATGTGGTGTATGCTACCTATGTCAACATAAGTAGTATAAAACACCAATCAGAAGTGGAATGCCTGGCATCAGAAGGTTTAGAAAATCGAATCGAAGAGTATCGGAACTGAGAACAATTGTTATGACGATGAAGTAACGATGAAGTTTTAGACAATTGAAAGAGAATTCGTAAATGAAGTATCGAAAGTATGGTTTTCATTTTTTACCGAATAACTATGTAGTTTTGAGTTAAAATACAATGATTGTCACCACCTGTATTCCCGTTCACAGCATTTGTACCTATATAGCTATCTTGTCATGAAATTTTGAACAAAAAATTTTATATCGTCTTCATATAGCCTTATTCCGTCAAGCTGAAGGTTAATCTCCAAACTAATCTTTGAAAAACAAATGGACTAATTTTTTGTAGTATTTGGAGTTCAATATAGAGCCCGTCTACATGCTGATCATCTTGCAAATGAATGATTATTTTAAACGAAAATAGTCTGTCCTTTAAGGTAGAGTACAAAGCTATCATAAACCTTGAAAAATTCTAGGCAATGGAGAATAGATACACGGATTCTGACAGTATAATATATTGTTTATTTTGGCAATAATTATATTCGCTGACTAGTAAAATGTATCAAGATATCAAGATCAATAAATTTCAACGTCTCTCAAGCATCGTTTGAGGGAGTTGTTCACTTCCTAAAGATAATGTACAGGGTATTGTTCACTGGCGAAATTACTCTAACTGACAATATTAATAAGTGGCAATACCATTAAATCTAAATATTGATTATTTGGATAAATATATATTGTGTAGAACTGACAACAAACAATCATCTAAGGTACACTATTCTACATAAATTTAGGAATTCGCTTATTCGCTTGTATTTTCAACATCTTTTTATGCAATCGATGGGAGACCTTTCGCACACAGTTGAACAAAAATAGCCTAACATGATGTATTTATTAAGTAAAGGATATATTTTTTCATGAATGGAATAAATGATAATAATAAATAAATACGTTTTACAGTGTTCAGTAAGTAAGTAGTATCCAGTATATTTGGATAGTTTTTACTGGGTAAACATTGTATAAAAGAGTATAATTCTCACTCGAGATTTCATTTGGATAAACTGAAACTAATCACATTTGTCTGCTATGAGTGTAGCCCATCATAGAATCCCGGTAAAGTTGGGAAATTTCCAGAGAAAATTACATTCCTACATGTCACATTCACTGAATGAATATTAACAATAATACTGGATGGTTCACATGTATTGAAGGTTTGTGTAAAAATTAAATACAATTTTAAATCTAGTTTGCATTGATCGTTTGACTCTCCTCATTGATGTTAAGCATATGTGCATCCTGCACGGATTGCTTCGATATTACCATAAGTCACAAGCATTTTAAGCAAAGATGGATACTAGCTATCAGTGTAATCTGGTATGGTAAGCAGACAATATTTTTATTCTTCCATTATATCAATTCATTTCGAAATAGGTTTCTGATAAATGAAGGCATGTGAAGTTAACTTTTTTCAATAGTTGAGTGGATAATACGATGACGTTTAAAGCGAACGTACTGAGTTTGAGTCCCAGAGTGAACATCAACTTTGAGATCCAGCTATTGAGTCCCAAGTAGGACGTAACGCGCCTCCTGAATTCCACTGCTAGCCACTATCCATCTTATAAATTCAATCATAGGATAAATAAAGACGTTTTATTCATTTCAATTGTTTCTATTTATAATTCACTTGAAAATTTTACAATACGGTATCAAATATGAATAACATGTTATAGTACAGTGCTTACAGGTTTTCCATGGTGGTTTACCTTTAATTGATTCATCATCTCAACTATTAAAACATGTTCTAGTGAGTACATAAACTTTTGAAATTGTATAACATTAAAAAAAAATTAATACAAGTGAGATAAAGTAATTTGTTAATATTAAAAATTGATTTTCAATAAATTATTCACCCTCCACACCCCAAATAATATTCTTTCATATTTAAGAGTTTGAATCACCAAGATCAAAATTTTCAATACAAATATCAAGACATTTCTACTGTATAGGGCGAAGATGTGGAGGACTGCAAAAGCCATCAACCAGAAAATACAGATGTTTATCAACTGTTGTGTACGCAAAATAATTCGGATCCGTTAGGCCAGACACTAACAGCAACAAGTTGCTGTGGGAGAGAACAAACCAGATTTCAGTGGAGGAAGAAATCAGGAAGAAGTGTTGTAATTGGATAGGACACACATTGAGGAAATCACAAAGCTGCGTTACAAGGCGAGCCCCCACATGGAATCCTGAGGGTCAAAGGAGAAGAGGCAGACCAAAGAACACATTAAGTCGAGAAATGGAGACAGACATGAAAAGAATGAACAAAAGTTCGATAGAACTAGAAAGTAGACCCAGGACAGAGTGGGTTGGAGATTACTGTTCTGTGGCCTACGCTCCATTGGGGGGTACCAGGCGTAATTAAATAGATAAGAGTTTGAACAAAATGTTTACATTTGATGATAGTTTTCATTTTAGAAATATACAGATAGAAATGTGAAGTGTATGTATTAGCATAATTTCTAAAAAAGATTTGCATTTTTTTTGTTTTAATTAATTGTAAGTCATAAATGTTGTATAATACTGATAATTTGCGTCATTTGTAAATAATTTACACTTGTTACACAGGGCGCCTTCATCATTATTCACATACACATCTTACACAATAAAAATAAAAAATAGTGGTAGTATAATTAACTTGTCAGTTTAGTGTAACGTAAATGTGCTTGTATACTGGTAAAATACCGACGTAGATCAAAGTAACTATACTAGTAATAAATCTTTTAAGTTAAGTAAAACTAAACTAAAGCAACTCACAATCCGTCTTTTTTCGGACATAATTTTCACACAAAAGTAGACTAGGCATTTGACGTAGGTTTGACATAATTAAAAACGAATAAGATTTATAGAAAGTTTTGAAACTATTTTTTTTAGTAAGCAAAGATGGATAATGTCTAGCAGTGAAATCCAGGACGCGCACTTTGACCGGTTTGGAACTCTTCACACTGATGTACCTGCATTTAACTACTGAGTCCTGATAGCGACTTGCTTGTGTGAACGGTACTGGATTCGAGTCCCAGAGTGAATATCAACTCTGAGATGTAGGTACTACTATTTGAAAAGTAAGATTGTTTTGATTTTTTAGACAATACTGTGATAAAGATTATTTCGTTGTATCCATCATACATACAGGTTATGATACTGATAATGAAGGTTACTGATCATATTCGTTTTTCATTGGTTGTTTAAGGGCTCCTATTGATGTTTGTGACTGTATTTGAATTAAAACTTTACATCATGGCACAATCTGGTAACTATCTGAACTTAGTAGCTAAGTGGATAACATGATGGTGTTTTTGGAGCGAATGGCACTCGGTTCGTGTTCCGGAGTAAACATCAACTCTGTGATAAAGATACATGGACATGATAACTCCCAAATAAGACGGAACGCGCTTTCTGGATTCCATTGGTAGCCACCATCTATCTCTGCTCGTAAAAAATGATCAATCGATAAAACTCAGTACTGGCCGATTGATTACTTTTTTCTTTATTTTATTCAACTAATAATTATCGTAGATTCACTAATGTCAGGAATTTTGTTTTCTGGAAGCTTCCTCAATACAAACATACTTAACACTAGATTTTGTTTACCAACTTTTAAGTATGACAAAGCATTGAATAAATACAACTTAATAAAATGACTTCAAATATTTTGTAATTATTGTTGTAACATACAACAGTTGATGCTTTTCGTTTTACATATAATAGAATATTAATAGTTGTTTATGTATAATTCATAATTCTTTTCATGTCCCTATTCAATTACTTTTCTTCGGCCTGGTTGAGTATCTGGGCTACCTGTTCCGACTATCTAGGTATTTCAAAAAATTATGATTTTATTTGTTTTAATATATCAATATATCGGTTAATCTATTCAGGTACCTTTATGAAAAGTTTGCACAAAGACACAAATTTCTTCTCCTTTTTTAAATTTAAATATTAAGTTATTATTTTCAATACATACTTTTAATAAGATCATGAATCGATTGGTGTTAGACAACCATTGAAAACCTGAAAGCACTGGACGGCCATTTCGTCCTAGTCTGCGACTTCTCGGCACTGTACATCCACGATCCCGCACGGTGAACTTGAACATAGGACCTTCAGTTGCTTGCACGATCTAACATCGAACGATTCATAGTCTGAATCAAAAACTTAGCAATCTCCATAACCAAATACTGATAATATTTATTTATTATTATTATTTGACATTCTATAATCACCTTATATTTGTCAATAACATTTATTGTTGTCCGATTGTATTCAATGATGTTAAAGAACTTATTCAAACTTTATAAGAAATGATGGATAGTGACTGGCAGTGGAACATAGGACACGTATTTCGTACTAGTTGAGACTCGTCAGATGGATGTACCTGCATCTCAGAGTTGATGTTCACTCTAGTAATGGGTTCTAATCTCACAGTGAACATCAACCAAGATTCAGGAACATCCAGCTGACGAGTTTCAAATAGAACGAAACCAGCGTCCTGTATTCCACTGCTAGCCACTATCCATCATTGCTTATAAAACTTGTGACTTCTGGCAATATCGAGGCAGTCCTCACAGGATGCATATATACCAACAAGTAACTGATCAATTACAGTGGTAAATAACAATGGGGAAAATACAGGTAAACAACATCAAGTAAATTTATTCAAATTTTGTTTTCCATCAAATCATTAAAATCAACCAAGATTTTTGCATAATTCAAACTGTTATATAGTAGCGAAGACATAAGTACGGGTAACTCCCAGGATCTATTATTGGACTACTATTCTTATTGTATAACTATTCAATAACTAGATTATCTATTTCTATATTCATCTTATTACAAGCTTCATTTTGACATATTGATTATTATTATATGATTTACTGTTCCTAAGTTATACTCAGTTTATTGATTATTGTCTCCTTTATTCACAGCCACATTTGGCTTGATCTTGTACAAATATTATTTTCTATTTTATGCTGTGATGTGGTCAGCCTGTCTGGTATATAAACAAAGTATGCTTGAATTAAACGATTCGTATAGATTCATATTGCCGAGGCTGTATTGGTGTTCTGGACTTAATTGGCTGGGCTAGGCAGAAAGCGGGACTGACAAGTAATCAAGACTTCTCGTACGATTTTATGTATCATTGCTCCGATCAATAAATTCCCTCCTCTCTCATTGACGCGCACTCATACGACATAACACAAAAAGAATGAAAAGATAAGCCTACCTGAAACATAATTTTATTTACAATGTTAGTTGCTGCATACAGAGCAAATGATATAAAGTCATTTTGATATATATATGTCATATAAAAATGAACTTACATACCCGGAAATCTTTCCTTTTTACATAAAAAAATAGTACCTTTTTCATTTAGATAGATCTCAGATCATCGACTTGTAGGTAACTGTCATTTATTGTTAGGTTTCATTATTACATAACAACCTTATTTTTGAATATTACATAATTTGTGATGTTTCTATTGAAGAACCTGTACTAAATTGTCCACTATGTAATGTATCAATAAATCCATGTATAAATTGTGTTTTTAAATAATCATTATTAGGAACACTTAAGACAACTTTATATTCATTATCTTTAAAACATTTATCTGGTATACATTCCTCGAATGTTTTAATTGGAACATTTAAATGCATTGAATCTATTTTAGGTAAAGATGTTTTGATTAGATTGTATTGATCAATTCCTGTTGATGATTTACTTGGTAGATTAATTGAATCAGTTACTAAGATAAAAGGTGTTACTGTAGTGTTAGAATAATTGATTTTATACCGACTGATTGATGCTTGATCACAAATTGAATGTGATTGATCATCTGATATAGATGATAATTGTTCTTGATTTTGTTTTAATCGTTTCGATATCATAGTGTATCGTATATCATCCATACTTAATAAAGAACCTACTGAAGCAGTTCTATAAGTAATTGATGTTGGAGAGAATTGATGTAAATGACTAATTTGCTCTGTTTTAGTTAATTTAGAACAATGTGAATTGACACGTTTGTTGCGATGAAATCTATAGGCTAGAAATGTAAGTGAGATTAACATTATTAGTCCAGCACTGGCTAAACTAATTAACAGCCAGATATTTACTTGTTCATGTAAACGACTCATTGTTTTATACACTTTCCATTTATTGTATTGTAAATAATTTGTCTGTGAATTAATTATATCTGACTGTATAGATTCATTTGAAATATTGTTATTAAAATATTTATAGTTCGATGTCAATGACGACGGGGAAGAATTCGAATAAAAAAAGAGCGGAATTGAGTTGGATAAGATTCGGTTTGTTGTTTCTTCACTGACTGGTTCATCACGATTCACGTAGTTTACTCCACTATAGAAAAAATACATGTTGAACTTAAAGTAAAGCTGTCACATAGCATCGCAATATTTATATTCTAGGACAGATTATATAATACAAAGTAGTGTAGTTAATTACAATCAAAGTAATAGAACTCTTACATTGAAGCAAATATAAATCTTGGATGGGGTGCTTTTTTAGTGCATATAATATTTCTACACTGATATTTGGCGATTGTTATTTTCAAAACAATTTTTTAATTTAATATAAAATAGACAAACTTACTAACGGATCAATAGGTTATGCATTTGCGTGGGAGGCCTCAAGCCCTGGGTTTGAGCCCCTTTCGTAGGATGGGGGATGTGAACTGTCGAGGAGTCCCATACTTGGACGAAATGACAGTTCAGTACTTTCAGGTTTTTAGTGGTGATCTAACATGGGTTCATTCATGATTTCAGTGAAAATCATTTATGTAGTAAATATAAGACAAATACAAGCATTTTCAAGTAGAACTTATATGTGTTCCACTAACTAGTTGTTACCTGGACATAATAGCCTGGTGAACAACTCACCGAAGCTTGAAGCAAAACGTCACTATGAGAACTTCCTCATCAAGGTGCAGGTACGTCTAAGCGATGAGCCTCGATTAGGAAGGAACGTGGGTCCTGAATCTAACTGTTAGCCACTATCACTAATTACATATAATATACACCTTTGAATGATAACTTTTTTCGAAAGTACTGGTTCAGAAATGTACTTAATTTCTAAACACTTTGAGGATGAATTATCGAGTACTTCTAGTTACTGCAACACAAAACATTAAGCGGTCTAGTGTAGTATCGTATTTCTATCTTCAATAAAGAAGTTACTAGTTAAGGTCGTGTAAGCCCATCGAATTCAAGAAAGCGACTTTTAGAAATGGTCCAAATTTACTGAAAAAAGTCAAGAATTTGAATAATAACTGATGTGTGAACGAGAATGATAATCATTTGTTGTTTTCCTAAATCAAACTTGTAGATAGTCTGACAGGTGTCAGACGAGTTATATATTCTCCTGTCCCCATTATTATTATTATTATTATTATTATTATTATTATCATTATTATTGATCGTCCATTTGTTGTAGGATTGTATCAGTTTTAGTGTGGAAATATATTTACATTCTTGTCAGGCTAATCACGTGTTCTTGATCTGAGTTTTGTTGAAGTCCTATTAGAGTAGACACTGGGAGGGAATCTAGTGTAGATATTCGTCTAAGGTAAATCAACGTCCCATTCGGGTAAAATGGAAAACGAACCGTAATAACAATAACTATTTTTAGACATGTCAAATTCATAATCTATAATTATAATCTAATTTCTACAAACCTCCTTAAAGTGCAATTTTAAACAGTTTTTTGTCTAGTTGTTTGATTTTTCATAACTAATTGAATTTGTTTTGTCAAAATTGACTGTCGAAAACTCATTTTGTAAACTTCTTATTACATATACTATGAAGTTCTACCTTTGTTTAATAGTGTCTCTATATGTACTACACATTATTGTATATTACAAATCAGTGTTGTCTTTGAAATCTTCTACTGGTGAAGTTTGGAGAGTGACTTGACGGGATGAATAGACAAAATTACACATTTAACTTATACCATTTAACTCTGTATGACAATATTTTATTTCAGTTTGATGGGTTTTTTTTAGATATTTAATACCCATTGTACCCATTGCAATTTGAATTATGTATGACATGACATGCAGCTTACGAATTTGTTATGATTTCGTACATGTGACTATATTTCAATAAATGTACAAATCAATATATATATATATATATATATATATCAATGGATGTATTTTCGATCAGGATTGTCGTCGTGTTTTTAAGATGATAAATCTTCACTTGTATTAGTTTTTCATGTTTTTACTTCATGTCATATACAATATTATTGGTGTCAGTTATTTGGTATTGTAGTGAACGAGAACACAAGTGGAAACAACCAAATGCATTCCGAGACAACATTACAGAATATCTTAGTAGAATCTGTCAACCATACAATAAATACTTCATTTCCAAAAGGTCCATCAATTGTTTCTGACTTGACTGTTCTTTTATCTCCGTACCAATCATTCTCTGATCTCATTCACTTCTCTTCGATGTTCTCAACTTTCTGTCACCAGGCATTCCACTTTCGATTGGTGACGCATACTACTTATATCTAGTGACATCAGCAGCGTAGATCGCAGTATAGCTTAACTATTGGGAGTAACTCTCTATATGAATTCGAATTTCATTACTACTAAATGCATGTATTTAAAAGTAAACTTACTCTTTATAATAATCCGATTTGAGCAATTTCGGTTGAAATTTTGTTATATGCTTTACATTTCCAAATCGTGTCACATGTATATGCATTAAATAAGATAAACCAGCAGCTATATCATTCAATAGTAGTCCATTGTAATAAACACCTTAACAATAAATAGATATTAATCATTCTGATTAAGAACGAATATCGTTTCTCATGATTATAGTAATAATAATCAAAAGTGTTTATCAAAAAATATCCGGTAAAAATGTTTCTTGACAAAACAAAAACTGATTATTATTTTTCTTTTTTAAAATGATAAATAACACCTAATTGTTTATTCACAATTAACTGATGTTTAAATGAAATATTCACCAAGGAAGAAAACAATATCAAGGATCAAGAATAATAAATATATTCTAGAATGAAGTGAATTCATTATATTTCACTTATGAAAAACTTCTATTTTATAGATGAGATCATGAGTCAATTGAAGCTAGACCATCAGGGAAAACCTGGAAGTACTGGATGGATGTTTCATCCTATTGTGGGAACTCCTCAGCATTGCGCATCCACGATCCCGCCTCGCATGATTCGAACCCAGGACCTATCACTTAACCGATAGACGCATGATCTCATCTATAAAATTACAAAAATCTACACGAAAACTCATTCTAAAATTTTTATTGTTGTTACCTTGAATTCTGTATGCCAAAAAATAAATAATAAAATTTTGTAATACCCAATTGAAAAGAAAATTTAGATTTTCTGACCTTTCGTAACTCAGTGTAAGCCACTTCTTCAAAGAACAAAGGTAACATTATTCGAAGTTTAATTTTACAACGGATCAATACCAATAATACAAGCAAAGATAGATAGTGGCATGCAGTATAATCCAGGACGTGTGTTTCGTATTGTTCGGGACTCGTCAGATGGATGTACCTGTATCTCAGAGTTGATGTTCACTCCGGGACTTCAGCGCAGTACTTTTCACTTCAAACGCCATCGCGTTATCTACTCAGCTACTAAGCCCTGATAACGTGATGGCATTTGAAGCGAAAGGCACTGGGTTCGAGTCACAAAGTGAACATCAACTCTGAGATACAGATACATCCAGCTAACGAGTCACAAATAGGATAAAACGCGCTTCCTGTAATCCACTGCTAGCCAATATCCACCTTTGCTTATAATGTTTGTGAATTAAGGCAATATAGAGGCAATACGCACAGGATGCACATATGCCAATAAGAGACTGATCAGTTGCAGTCCTAATCATCAATGGGAAGATTCAAACTAACACTACTAAGTGAATTCACTAACAATATTAGTTTAATTAATTACTTTAATGATTACAATTTGTAGAAAGTTATTTGAATGACTGGTATTTATACGCTACTTCGCCTTTGAAATTATATCATGAAAGCATAGTCAGTGAACAGTAAAATATATAAGAGAATAAAGATAGTTTATTTCATTATAATTAAAAAACACACCTTATACTTAAGTAATCACTAAGTTCTTAGTTTCTTTTATTTTTCATCTATAAATAAACCATTCAAAGGTCCGTCCTATTTCTTCTCTAATACATGCATTTATTACTATACATATTCCAGTTTTAATTCTGTTTCTATGAGGCAATTAGATGTTCACTAATCTAATTTATCTCATACCTTCAATGCAAACATCAGGGTTGTCGGTAAATTTTCTCTCTCTACTAGTCTTTGTAGAAATGAAAGGCGGTCACTATTAAAGTGCATACTTCAAATCTATTATGTGAAAATAGACGTCATAAGAATAAAACTGCTACTAATTACTTACGAATGAATCTGAATGGCAAATAATTGCTGTTCAAAAAGTCTTATGACTAGATTTTGAATATTTAGGAGTTGAATTCTTATAAAACGAGAGTTTCATTCTGTTTTGTGCCGCAAATCGTCTAATCAAGCATATATTACTGAACAAAGAGAGCGTTGTTAATCTATCATCAGTATAGAGTTGTGAAGATTGTTGAAGCTTATTTAGATCATGAACTGTTCTAATTTAGATAAACATTGAAAACCTGGAAAAAGTGGATTGCCATATCATTTTAATAGGATACAATGGAAGATGATTGCGTAATATTGATTGAAATTAAACTTGTAAACAATTGTTTTCCCGTTCAATGGCTTAGAGATCAGGCAACGATTGTGTGACTGAATTCGCACTTTTGGGGAGTACTATACTACGACGCAACGGCCATGGAATCTTTCATTATTTCAGCAGTTGTCTAAGTTTGGTTACCAATCTTAATAAAATTATACATATTCAAATACAGGGTTTTAAATTTAATCTTAGGTTGATCTGTAATCTAAACCTCTCTAACTTTTACGTTTTTCAGCTCTATGAATATGTCTGAAACCTAAAACATGAATATGATGGTTTGTGACGATATTATTACTGATCTTATCCAAAACCCATCAAAAAACGTTTTCCTAAACTGTTAATAGTAAAAAGGTGAATAAAATGTATATAGCGAAGTAACTGAAGTAAAGTTTCGATACCCAATGTCTTGAACAACTAAATAATGATTATGTTATTAAATGTAGTGTTTTTCAAGAACAAATAACGAAGTATAACCGTGTATAATCAAGATGTAAAATGTTCCATGTCAATTCAAATATTGTGCAACTGGGAAATTTTAACATAACGACATCCAATACAGTATTGTAGTGTAAATAAATGTACTAAAAGCAGTCTGATTAACGTAAGTGATAAAGGGTGTGGGGCTCATGGATTCAGGAAACACCTAGCTTTTACTTTGAAGTGTCATAATTATTGTATGTGTCAATCATTCAAGTCCCTAGACGTCCTTTAATACGTTTAGTTTATTTTCTTTGGTTTTGGGTTTCGCATAGAGGTTATTGTTTATGAGATGTGGTTGAGACCTTTACATCCAATTCACTTCTTTTTTTACCAAGGCTTACGACCGGTTATAAACCTAGAATGGTTTCACGTGCAAATTGATCTTAAGGAGATAATTGTATATTTATAGAGCTGTATACCTACTGACACCGACATTTCGGTGAAAATGAAAGACGTACAATTATCATTTCCAGTGTACATGGATATCATAATTTTAGAATAATGTTGGCAATGATAAAAAAAATTCTGTTTTGTGTTATATAAACTTATAATTTTCACCTCTAATAATACTGTAAATGTAAACATATTCACCTGAAAGCTTAGATACGTTTTTTTAAATGAATCACTTTATTCAGAAGGGGATTTGTGGAGATTTCAGTATATTTTAAAGTTGAAATCATGAGTCAATTGAAGCTAGACCACCATCGAAAACCTGGAAGCACCTGGATGCCTGCTCAGTCGTCTATCGGTTAAGGGCTCTGGCTCGTAACTGTTAAGTCCTGGGTTCGAATCTCACGAGTGCGAGATCATGGGTGCACCCAGCTGAGGAGTTCCATAATAAGACGAAACGGCCGTCCAGTGATTCCAGGTTTTCGATGGTGGTCTAGCTTCAATTGACTCATGATTTCAACTTTGGAATCACTATATTTTACTTTTATAAATTTATATATCATAATCCATAAATTACAAATCAATTTCTATGGTGTATAATCAAGAATGATATATAACTTACCAGTCATGTAACCATGAAAAAAATCTGTCTTATTCAATCTTGGTGCATGTCCAAGCCAAATAACTTTTTGATTATTGAATTGTTTCCCATATATACCTATGTTTATATAAATAAACAAAAGAACTCGTCTATTTACTAATCAAATGTATCCTGGATAATGATAGGCTCTCTCTCTCTATATATATATATACATATATATTGAATTTTATTGTAACCATGATAAGTAAAACAGTGGAATTTTTTTGAATAATTAGTCGGCAAAAAAACAAACTAGAAGAATATTTAATGGATTAAATGGATATTCATTTCTTTTCTATATTGCCTCTAACGTTCATTGTTGAAAAAATCTATAACCTAATGTAATGATATATATATGTATATAGTAGAAGGTTTGAAGATTTTATTTCCGATAAAATATTCCTACTTGAAAAGAATTATAATAACTAATGAATAAGGTGAATCGTATTACTATAAAGTACATTTAGATTGAAAATACGGAATGTATTTCTTGATTGCGATGAACCTTTGTGTTATGTTCGCTAATTGAATCACGCAGAATACGATATAGATCTAACGGCATTCAAACTTATAGAACTTTCATAGTCGCAAAATCAGAAGACAGAAGAAACAGAAGTGATTGTTCGAGAAGAATCAAAAATGTACAGAAAATCATAGGTATTTATAGATATTAGATTTATCTATGACATGATGACGTCAACATCTGGAGTGAAGCACGGGATAAAGTCGGCAGTTAGGATGCAGCTGGACGATTTAGACTTCGATGATAATCTGGCTCTTCTATCATACACACAACAACAAATGCAAAATAAGACAACCAGTGTAACAGCAGCCTCAGAAGCAATAGGTCTCAATATACACAAAGGGAAAAAGCAAGATTCTCCGATACTACACAACATGTATCAATTGAATCACAATTGACGGAAAAGCTGTGGAGGATGTGAAAACCTTAACATATCTGGAGAGCATCGATGGTGGATCTGATGCAGAATGGAAGACGCGGATCGGCAAAGCAAGAGTAGCATATTTACAACTGGAGAACATCTGGAACTCAAAACAATTATCAATCAACACCAAGATCAGTGTTTTCAATACAAATGTCAAGGCGGTTCTACTGTATGGGGCGGAGATGTGGAGAATTACGAAAGCCGTCATCCAGAAGTTTCAAGTGTTTATCAACAGATTTGTACGCAAGATACTTCAGATCCGTTAGCCAGAGACTATCAGCATCATTCTACTGTGGAAGAAAACAAACGAGATTCTAGCGAAGGAAGAAATCAGGAAGAAGTGCTGAAAGTGGATAGGACACACATTGAGGAAATCATCCAACTGCATCACAAGACAAGCCCTCCCATGGAATCCTGAAGGCCAAAAGAGAAGAGTAAGACCAAAGAACACATTAGGCCGAGAAATAGAGACAGACATGAGAAGAATGAACAAAATTTGGATAGAACTCGAAAAGAAGGCCCAGGACAGAGTGAATTGGAAAATGCTGATCGGTGGCCTTTGCTCCATAGGGAGTAACAGGAGTTAGTGTGTAAGTAGGAAGTAAGAGTTAGCTATAAAATCATTGATTAAGGCTTATGTTACTGAACTATGGACGGAAAAGTCGTTATGAGGTTACGTTTTTTTAATCTAACACCCTGATTTTATGTGCGCTGACAGTGTTTATATATTCTTTAATATAGATGCTACATGATAATAACACCTTTAAGTATCCAATTATTCAAAAGCCAGAATGTACATAACGGAAATTGTGTAGTCAAACTTCGAAAAATTAAATGCATGTGTTTGAATGTTGATAAATCAACTTACTGTTTAGTTCATATGTATGTCTTGAGTCATCTACTTCAAGAATTATCTGACGATCCACTCGATAACCTCGAATTCGATGATAAAATCCATCATTGATTGGGAAATTAGGTCCACTAATGTGAACCACACCTCCACCCATGTTATAATTAAGCCGTACTATACCTGATTCCTAAAGATAAATTTTTAGAAAATGTTGAGAAAAGAAAAGTGAAAAGACATTTTCATTGTTTTAATAATGGCTAGTGACAAATATCATATTTCGCCAGCCTTCACGGTTTATCTAATTCTGTAGGTCAAGTTGCAATATGGCCACTATTCTAAATAACCCAAATAGCTTGTGCTAGGTCTCTATGTCAAGCATTTAGACGTAGCTGATAGAAAACATCTAGCTTATGTTTTCTGATATTGCTGTTACTTAGCCTCAAATACCTCAGTGACGAAGTCTCAAACTACAACATTAAATAAGACTGGTTTGAATCCTATAGAGAATAACTGTTCACTTAATAGTACAGGTATGCGTTCTTGACTGTTTTCAAATAACGTGAAACTAATGACCAATGTTTCCTGCAATGGACCTTCAAGTACCCAGTATAAAAATATAATACAACTATATAGATGAATTCTTTGTAAGATTGTGTTTGATGTTCTGTTGTACCTAAGTTAGACAAATTATTAACCTATTATCTTGAAGCCTTTAAAACTTAGAAAGCAAATTCGCAACGACTATTAACGTTGTTTTATCAGTGTCACATAATAGTTGAGATTTTAAATTCCAACTGATTCATCTTAACTAAAGGTATTTAAACGTAAATTGATCTTTCCTTCCCATTAGTTAGATAGACGACGGATATTCATTTTTAAAATGATTCTTCTGATTCTCAAGATTGCTTTATGAAGGATGTTACTTCATTATTAAGCGTACTTCAATGAAATATATTTGTAGTAAATTCTATTCATCTAACTAATTTCACTCTTACGAGATGTGAAATCCAAATTCATCTGACTTAAGTTCTAAATCTAGAATTTACTCATTTTGCTATTCTTACATCAACACCTAGTCATCTCTATGACCAATATATGCACAGACAATCTAAATCTAATCCATACAGATGAATATGATCTTGAAAGTTTTAATATGGTAACGATATATTTGTAACATTTACTGTGAGCATCAAATCTTACATAAAGCTTTATGTTCTTACAAACAAATTTCTAAGAAGTCATGATTCAATTGAAACTAGACCATCATGGAAAGCCTGGAAGCACTGGACAGCCGTTTCGTCCAATTGTGAGACTCACAATTTAGACATTAACATCGTTGGATGCCGGCTCAGTGGTATAGTGGTTAAGCGCCTGTCCTGGGTTCAAGTCTCGCGAGGCAGGATCGTGGATGCGCATTGCTCTGCCTTTTTCCAGTTGATTTCCATTGCTCTTGGTTTGTTAGGTTTTTGAGTTTTTGAATGTCATGTTTTCGATGCTATAAATATAGTTATTTTGTCATACTTGTTCTACTTCGAATATCATGTTTTCCTGTGATTTATGTCTTCCTTGATTTAGCTGCCAAATGTTGAAGTAATTTGTGTTAGTCGCCATTATCCATTTGATACGTGGAACCAACCCTAATTCCTCAAGTATTGTCAGCTTGTAAGGAATCCTCAGTATCAATAGTTAACACTAAATACCTTAATCGCATTTATATTACTTTTTTTTATTTCCCTTATTGTTGAACTGTTTTATTTAACCAATGACTATGACTTACAACCTTATAGTATCATTATTTTAATGAAATATTAACCTAAAATTACTAACCACACACTTAAACTTAATATTATAGGCTTATCTATCTAATCTCTTCAGTTTACTAATTATGGAAACAATTAAATTGCATCGTAAAGGATTTTGTAGATATTACAGTAATTTTAATAGTTGAGATCATGATTCAATTGTAGTTAGACTACCAGAGAAAACCAGTAAGCACTGGACGGTCGTTTCGTCCGTCCGACTCATGATCTCAACTATTGAAATTACTATAATATCCACAAAAACCACTTCTGATATTAATCAATATATGCTCAATAGTGAGAAGCAGTGACCAGTGGAGTTCAACCAGGTCTGTTGTAAGATAGTAACTCAATGAAGATAATGGTGAATGTGTCGCTCAATTTCGTGGATTAGTTAAAGTTAGAAATTAACACCGTTGTATGCTAATTCAGTGGTCTAGAGGTTCAGTGTTCGTGCATGAGACCGATAGGTCCTGGGTTCGAATCTCACGAGGTGGGATTGTGGATGCGAACTGCTGAGGAATTCCACAGTTGAACGAAACAGCCGTCCAGTGCTTCCCGGTTTTCAATAGTTGTTTAAGTTTAATTGACTCATGATTTCAACTATTAAAATTAAATCACAATTAAAAAGTATACTCATCTCCTCTATGAATACATAGACTTTAAATTATATAAGAAATAAAAGAAAAAGAAATTAGTACAATATGCAGATGTTTTGTTTGAGTCTTATAGAGTTGAAACTATGATTTCTTTTTGGTAACATGGTTAAACAATTTAAGAATGATGGAAATTTACTGTTAAATGAATACAATTAAGTACTATAGTAGTTGTAGTGTGGTGTGGGCTACTTATATCCATATAAGTAGTATATAACGATGGTTGGGCATTGAATGGATTTCAGTAGAAGATCGATAAGGAGAGAACGAGAATGCGACGAAATTGGTATACAAAAGCATGAACAATAATAGTCAAAGACATTGGATTGATATTTACAGAAGGAACGGTCAAGATTGAGACGATTGATTAATAGTAGATCCTTGGTTCGAAACTCATGAGGCGGGATCGTGGATGCGCACTCTTGAGGATTTCCACAATAGGATGTAACGGTCGACCAGTGCTTCCAGGTTTTCAATAGTTGTCTAACTTCAATGGACTCATGATTTCAATTATTAAAATTGAATCACAATTAAAAAATATACTCATATCCTCTATGCATATATAGACTTACTAAAAATAAATGTATAAAATCACCAATTTGTGTTAAACTTGTTACAAATAATAAAGTTGATATATAATTATCATCATTATAAGTTTGTGAATAGTTTCTATGTTGTTGTTTTTGTTGTTTTTTATGTGTGAAATTTATGTAAAATGTTTGTATCCCAAGTATAAATTCATCTTGTCTTGTATGTTTTTCATAATCTTTATAAATGAAACGTAAATAACCAATGTTGTCATGGTTACTAATTGTATGATTGAATTTATTTGATAAGTTATTGTTATTATTATTATTTATTATGGAATCATCATGAATACCATATACAAAGGTTGTTCCAGCTATTAAAGAAAAAATGATTAGAATATTGAAGTAGATTTGATTTAAACAAATGCATAATAAGTATGTACAATTTATAAAAGAAAACTTTCCTGGGCTGTCTGACGAAGCAAGGTCTTTCAGATGTAATGTTCTACTTCTCATCATAATATAATTATTGGCCATGAAATATATATATATATATCCAAGTTTTCAATCGTAATCTACCTAACACCAGTTATCAGAAGGAGGTCATGCAACTTCATCGACTGGGATGTTTGGTCCCCATGTTACGTATGCCTGAACACCGATTACCACGACGCGCTATGATGACTAGTATTGGTGATGGTTGAGAGAAAGTTAGGGGCGGCCAAACCAAAACGTGGCATCAGAGCTTGAAGTAACTAACTTCTAGTCTGAGCCATGTCGGAAGATGCAGACTACTTGATTGGGGTTCGCGTGACTATTGTAACCTATGGTTGGTGATTGTGTGTCACGGCTCAGAATCGATCACGATGGCGTAGATGCGTATACTCTTTATCTTAAAATTGGTTCATATCTGTCCTTCTTTTTGTACTATATCCTTATATACAACCATTCTTTTATATATTACGACCACTTCATTGACCACTTCTATGATTTCTGTGTTCATCTTGTTGTGCTAATGAGGTGTGGCAACTTGAACCGATGCATATATGTACCTGGTCCTACGTTGTAGTTGACTGATCAGAAGGAGGTTTTATGGGGATTTTCCTTTAGTAATTTTATAGTTAAATTCATGAATCAATTGGGGCTAGACCATCATGAAAAACTTGGAAGCACTGGAAGGCTGTTTTGTCCTATTGTAGAACTTCTCAGCTGTGTGCATCCACGATCCCGCATCGCGAGATTCGAATCCAGAACCTATCAGTTTTGCGCGCGAGATTGGTCAATTCAACTATGATTAATGTATGACATTTTTGGTTACGGAGACTAAAACAATTCATGGTTTGTTAAATGAATTAGATATTGTTTCATGTAAAAAAAATAGCGGAAATTTACGTCGATCATTGCTTAAATGGATCCTAAATGTATCAATTATAAATTTGAAAGACTATCTGAAAAGCGGTTAGGGAAATTCTATACTCGAATCGATTTCAGCTTGACAATCAATAAAAACTAGAAAATTTTGGAAAAATATAACATTCTACTATGGGATTAATTAGGAATGCTCTCCTATAAATCCATCATAGATGACTAGATTCATGAGCTCTGGTTTCGTGTACGAATGCCTAACCTGTAGAATACTGAGCCACGACCTATTAATGTCTTAGTATAATTTCAATTATTCAACGATATCTTGAGACTTCCTCCACTGACTTTAAAGTTCATCTTTCTCACACACAACATTCTTGAAATCCACTAGTCTCATGGCATCTGATAAACTTCTAACAAGCTGTCAAGTTATAATTAACATAATAAAATAAACCACGTGAATAAAGTGTATAATGTAGGAATTTTTATATCCGGTTAGTTGAGATTACTAGTTAATGGATAAATTGACACAAGTGAAATTAAAAAATGTATATTAACTTATGAATACACAATTTCCAGGAACATTTTGTACATGATAAACGAAATAAATGGGAAAATTAACGAGTATTTTATCCATAAATATGATACAATTCAAATCATTTAAGATTATTCATCGAAGAAACTTTCTCATTTATTGTTTAACATACCTGAACAATTGTATTCATGGTGATTAGACAAGTAAATTTCTAGTTGATCTTGATATATACTGCTTATTGAGTCTGTGAACTTTGCATACTTTAAAGCATTCAGTTTAATGTTACTAGTACAATATCCTTTTACCTCAATAATATTTCAGAATAAAGTAATAGCTACTCTCTAGACTAAATGTTACCCAAGTAACGGTGAGCGATCTGTATGGACAGTAGGTAACAACTTCACATATATTACACACGCTTTCATACTTTTAGGTGTCACTCCTAATTAATCTCAACCAAGACTTGCACAAGGTCTGATGAATTGTAAAACCTGATGATCAAACAAAAGAGGAAACTTGTGGGATGTCAAAGTCATCTTTTTATTCCGTATTAATTAGTCCTATCTAAGAAAAGCGGATGGAACCTATATTTTGCGTTTACAAAGGTATATTGAGTATATAAAAAACTGATCTTAAAGACGGAAGTCATCTCCACTCAATTATGTGATATACTCATATATTTATTATTGAATTCGAATAAATAGTATAGTAACGGTACAGTAAAGAATTCTCTCTGATCGATAGCATTTGATCAGTACGAAGAAAGACTTGATATTGATCACCACCCAGTGATCAATCAATTGTGATTGCATCTCAGTCCCACAGGAGGTCGGTCGCGGCCCGGATAGCTCAGTGGTAATGTCTCTGACTGGGAAGCTGTGTGACACGAGATTGAATCCGTAAGGGAGCACCAGTTCTTTCAAGATTACAGGTACACCTTGCTGACGAGTGCCAAGTAGCACGAAACCCGGATCCAGGGTTTCCTGTTGACCACCTCTAACCACAATCTTATCTCAACATAGTTCAATAACAGTGCAAGCCACCTAGACTAGTGGCCACATTGCAACTTGATCGAAAGCATTCGATCAGCACTAAGAAGGACTTGGCACACATGTTATTGATCACCACCCAGTGATCAATCAATTGTGAATTCTCTGTACAGTTAGAAAAATGTAAGTTATTATTTCTCGACTTATAAGAATTAATAGAAATACATTGACCTTTGTTTGACCCATTTCTATCTGTCCCAGGAAAGATAAATCAGTTAAAGAACTTGTTGAACAATTAATTTTGAACATAATTAAGAAATAATCACTTTTTTTACTGACCTTTCATACATCGATGCCCATCAAATGTAGTCAATTCACAGGCGCACTTAACACCTAACCATGTTTGTAAACAAATTCCATCATTTAAGCAATATGGTTGAAATAGTTTATCCTTATCATTATCCCCATTAACATTTTTATTTGTTTTTGTATTAGTCGAATGATTTTGAATTTGATTACAATTCAGTACTCCTTTCGGTCGATGGTGACAATTGTCCACGATTTGATCTCGACAGACAGGTAAAGTCCAATTTTTTGCATATTTTAACTTAGCCATATTTAATAAATCAAATGGAGGTAGTCCATTTATAGAGAAATTGCCTAGACAACCCTTATCAAAAATTAAATAATTAAATAGATAGAAATTAACAAGTATACCAATAAGTTTAGAATATTGTTGAGTTATCCGACCTAGGTGGATTAATAATGGATCTTTAAATGTCATGCCGGACATTATCATCGCTAAATGAAGTAAACGATAATGATGTTACCTAATATTACAATAAAAATTTGTTACTAAACTATCTACCACATAGGACTCAGAAACATTAAATACATCCACATCTCCAACATGCAACTAAGTAATTGGTACAGTTTGATTTACTTAAACTGAATGTGTAGAATACAATGACCTGGTGGAATTTATCAAGTCTGAAAAGTGACGTACAAAAAAACTTTCCAGGGTTGTCTGATGAACCAAGAATTTGATTCGATTAGGCTCTTTGACATATAACTTTCAACTTCTCATCATAAAATAATTTTTAGTCATGATCCGGTATCCTGCACATAGTTTACCAGGATATTTACATTCGGTTATTTTTGACTTTTGAAAAGTAAGCAACCTCATCTGCTTAACAAACCGTTTTATTAGATGAAATAAATTATTGATTTATAATATAAATGACTCAAATATGTTTGACGATGGTTTTTCAATCCTAAACAGACATTGATTAAACAATAAATAAGAACTAGGAATTTCTAGTCAGCTGCTTTGTTCTAGAATAATTATGTGCTCACTCGTGACTTTATTTGAGATCTTGTACCCTGAATTTCTGATTAGAGGAAGGGAATTCAGTTATAAACAATTTCTACTAATAATCACTTTTTAAAAAATGGTTTCAATGTCATACTTGAAATATAACATTGGAAATGTCATTCTGTTTGCCAGTATTGGGTTCGAAAATCTAGCATGAAACACATCTGAAATTAAATCGATGGTCTGAGTCGGTTTGTTGATATTGCCAAGTGTATTTGATGATTGTATATCTAAATTGGTGTGCAGTATATCAAATTATTCTCTTCATAACTAATTTAGATAGATAGAGGAATACATTAAAACTAAATGGTGTAAATCCTAAGCCAATCACTTTAATCAAAATTTGTTAACTAAAATAACTCATAATGTCATTGAATAAGAAAAAGAGAATTCAGCGAAGAAAATTTTCTTTTCGACGAAATCATTTACTTAAGCTGTACATGTGTATATATAGTAATATGGAAAATATATGTCTATAGGAGGCATATTTGTTATATAAGTGAATACATATTTTGTTTATCGTATTAACTACCACGATGAGACTATTATTTATGGATGACCTTTGAGCGACGCTAAAGTGAGAATTATGATTTACGGTTGATGGTTACAGTTAGTAACTAAATTTATAGTTTTTTCACCACCTGACAACAGTTAAAAAGCCAAAACGCTATTTAACCAAATGAATAGATGAATTTCGCGCCGAAATCCAAGAACTGTTATTTTATATGTAATTGGTTCATCCATAAATTATAGTCTCGTCACCACTAAATACTGAGGGTTCTTAAAGTTACTTTATTCAGGAAGCAAAATGGTGCAATTAAAATATTCTGAAATTTGAAATAAAGATCCAAACGCATCAACGTATAGCACTTTTAAAATGTTCAAGTCATTCTACAATAATCAAAGTACATGCCTCTATATTCTGTTGTTAAATTTTCTTCACATATAGTACCCTATTAGAGTGTGAATTTGAAATTGTGAAAGGATAAAAAGTTTCCAAATTCACTTGGTATTATTTGTTTGAATCTTCACATTGATGTTTAGGACTGCAATTGATCAATCTCTTATTGGCATATGTGCATACTGTGCTTATTGCCTCGATATAGCCTTAATTCACAAGCATGGTAAGCAAAGATGGATATGCCAATAAGAGACTGATCAATTGCAGTTCTGAACATCAATGTGAAGATTCAAATAAATAATACCAAGTGAATTTAGACTTCACCCCATTACACAATCAAATGGCTATCAGGACCCAGTAGCTGAGTGGGTAACGCGATAGCAAATGGCGTATGAACTAATCGTTGGCCACCGGCTACCATGCGACTTCATCTCCTTACGATACTCCACTGCATTATGTGTCAGATCTTTAGGTCAAAATCTCCAGGTATGGCCCCCTAAGCAAACCACCTGCTTCAGTTTGGTCACATGGGCAGTATCCAAGCCCTAAGACACAAATCAAATGAGATTTGTGTGGCTCAAACATATCTAGTGCCTCTTTGTACCAATATTTTTGTGTTTAACTAATAATATTAATAACAACAGAATAACACAAAAATATTATGTGCGATCAATTAAAAAAAACAGATCTGAACAAGTTCGAATCAATCCAATACTCAATTGATTCGAAATTATCAAGTCAAACCAAAGTAATGATACCTATAAACTAAATATTGTCTAACTAGTCTACAAATGAATGAATATAAAAATTAATTGTTTCCTGATAAATAATTTTTTTTTGGGGGGGGGAGGAATAAACTATTGTTAAGTCATGGATAACTTTAGGCGACAATAATATTGAATGTATGGTTAATTATGCTTATATAATGACAGAGATTATTTTTTGTATAATAGTTAAATCATTAGAAAAAGTAGACATGAAGAATTTTGAATAAACATTGAATTGTTGAATTTCAATGTGAATTCTGACAGTTGACAATACTATGTATATGCAGATAACTATAGTTGTTTTCAACACGAAAGGTATTCATTGAAAATGAAAAGGCACTAGGCAACTATTTCGTCTTAGAACACGACTCGTCAACAGTACATATCCACGACCCTACTGGAAATTGGATTAAGAACCTTTGATTACATGAATGAACATTTAATCTCTGAACTAATGAGCTAGCGTCTAATCGTTTGCTTGTCTAATTTCAACTAGTTCATGATATTATGAGACTATTTTTCATTGCCTTCTGTGAATAATTGTTTTATGATTGATATGGACAGAAGAGCTGTACAAAATCTCTTAGTTTTCAATTATGTTCTGGCTAAAATCAGTTTGAATTAAGATAGCTCTTAAATGGTCAAATATTTTGAAAGAAAAGCAAGGTATGTTGTGAACGCGAATATTTTTGCTTGAAACTTAACAATTCGTTTTCACTGAAAACAAAGATATATGAGACTCGCCAGCTGGGTGTATCTGCATCACATAGTTGATGTTCATTTCAGGACGTAAAATCTGTATCTTTCTCTTCAAATGCTACCCCATTATCTCTTCGGCCACTATCCATCTTTGCTTAAAAATACTTGTGACTTGATGAAAGTGATCAAGGAAATACGCACAGGATGCAGATATACTAAAAGAGACAATAATATTTTATTATCAGAAAGGGTTTTGTGGAGATTTAGTATTTTCATAGTTAAAAGCGTGAGTCATTTGAAGCTACACCACCATGGAAAATCTGGAAGCACTGGACGGCCGTTTCATCCTATTATGGGACTCTTCAGCTGGTAGGTCCTGTGTTCGAATCTCGCGGGTGTGGGATCGTGGATGCGCATTGCTGAGGAGTCTCAGAATAGGACGAAACGGTCGTCCATTGCTTCCAGATTTTCTATGGTGGTGTAGCTTCAAATGACTCACGCTTTCAACTATGAAAATAATATTTTAGCGTTTTTTTCCATGTTCAATTGTTTTTCAGTCAACAAATACTGTAAGTTCAGAGAAGCTTAGGATACATTATGTTTCTATACACTTTAAAACACTTCGCATTTGCAGCAACTCATTTATTCCATATTCACTTCCACTGTATAAAACGTAATAGATATTCAGTGAAATTTAGCCTTGTCCTACGTTTTAATAAAATCGTACGTCGAACTGGCCAATAATAAGCTAAACAAGTGGTGGTCGAAAAGCACAAAAAATAATACACAATATTTTCATTCAGATAAGAAGCTGACTGTCATTCTGACATAAAGTCATTGTTTCTATCTTCACAGGATTTACTGAAACCTACGAAATAATTGAAAAGAGCTATTTTCTACAGTGTGAAATATTGACAAACATTCCTTAAAACTTTGTAAATTTTCTAGAGAGCTTTCCCGATGATTCACATTGAGTTATAGTCACTCGATTAATACAACCATTCAATAGATTGTTCGACTCAGACGTTCTAAGTCAGGTAAATATCTTTAATGTATGACTTAATTACTTACGTTATATTGTTTACTCATATTTGACCTAAATTCAATTGGTATTATTTGCTTGAATCTTCCCATTGATATTTAGAACTAGAATTAATTAGGTTTTATTGGCATATATGCATTCTGTACAGATTGCCTTGATATTGCCTTAAGTCGCAAGCACTGTAAGCAGAGATAAATGGTGGCTAGCAGTGGAATCCAGGAAGTGCATCTCGTCTTATTTATAAATATACTGCTCAAAAGTTTCTCTACTTCAAGTTGATACCATGAACATTTCTTATATACTTATTTACAAGTCGGGTATATTTCACATTGTGCTGATATATACTTTGAAGTTGATAAATATGACAGAATAACTTTAAAGGTTTACATTCTGTCAAATTACCTGAAATCCATGGTATGAACTAAGTTTTTCTCTCCATTTCAGGAATACAAGTTGAGATATACCACCGATATATAGTGGATCGTTTAAATTGAAATTTCTTGCAATGTCACCATTAAAAACCGGTATCTTCAAAAATTGTTCAATACTTTGATTTCGATCAATGTATAACTGGAGTATATTATTCTCAAGATCTTCTCTGAAAGAATATAGACAGATAAGGGAATCAATAATAAGATTAACATTCTTCAGATGTCATGTGTTGTTTGAATGTAATTATTGGGTAAAACATCATCATCATTTAGACACATCTAAATGTAAATAAAATGACGCCATTTCGTGTAAATCATCTTTACTGATTATACGTATTCCTGACGTGATAAAAACAATGACAATAATTTACTTGACTTGCGGATTATGATAAGCCAAATTTATTCAATATGGTTTGAATGGCAATAAAATTACATAGACATTTCTTTTTTTATAACGACATTTCTTTTCCATAGTGTGCAGAAACTTTTAAGTTAAAGTTCTAGAACAGTTATAGATAATTTTTGTGATTTTTTTTCTTTTCAAAAAGTTTGATGGCTCGATAACGTTGTAATCGAAGGGAGGATCTTTTAAAGAACAACCTTGACTAGAGTCCTGTTAAAAGTGTGTTGATGATTAAAAATCGTAATCGCACTATAGTATTATATTTCTCTACATAAAAACGTAACTAGATTAACAGTAGTTTTTTTGAATCTAGGAGTGTAATAGTTCAATACAAAGCACAGCTGCTTGATGACGGTTGTTTACGAGTTCTGGTGAGATTTGATTGACTTTACAAACGGTACTTTACGTCAAACATTCAGGGATTAAAATAAGTCATGATAATCTTCGAGACTACAATTTTTAACCAGTTCTCACATTTCGTTATGGTTCCTCTGCTAAAGATGCTGGATATCAGTGAAGACATTTTACTGCCTCAACATTTAAGTACAGTTTAAAGTGCTATGTCACCATCCTGCATTACATTTCACGATTATCGCACTCCAAATAACTTGTTTTGAATGATGAGAGTTCTAGAAATGTAGATGAGACAGTATAATCTCATTAGGTCATATTGATATTCAAGCCTTACTAGATTGTTAAAAATTAGGTATCGTTTTGTAATCCTAAAGAAACCTTTCAATTTTTCGGTTTATTAGTATAAGGAATGAATCAGTCCAATGCATACAAACTAACAATTTGTGTTCTCATTTAGATCTTCATCAAGCTTTACTGTGATATACAGTCATATTAAGGTAGATATTATAATAGTAATACAATAATCAGTGATAATAGCGAATTACGATACGCAAATAAATATAATATAAATGAATGGTGCAAATCAACATTTTGAATGAAGGTGTACCAACATTGACAAGAATTATAAACCTTGCGTAATATGTTTTTTTGTAGTTGGGCAGTGAAGAACATATTCGAAAAACAGTTGAAGAAAAAATAAACAAAGAATAAATAGAATAGTGATAATAATATGTAGAATTATAAGCGGAAACGGATGCTGTCTAGCAGTGAAATCCAGTACGCGATGGCGTTCGAAGCAAACAGTACTGGGTCTAATTCACCCAGTGGATATCAACTCTGGGATGCACGTATATCAACTTGATGAGTCTCAAACAAGATGAAACGCGCCTCCTGAATTCTACTGCTAGCGACCATCTATCTATGCTTATAATGCTTGTGTATTGAAGCAATATCGAAGCAATCTGTACAGGATGTACACATGACAATAAGAGACTTACATACAGCACTCTTAAGCGTCAATGGGAACATTCAAACAAATAATACAGAATGAAATAATATATAGATTTGTTGATTAAATCTAATTCTACCATAGAAGAAATAAAGGTTTTACAAATTTCTTGTGAATACGGTGACTGGTTAATAGCTCAAATCTCCATAACTTCATGAAACGAGATCGAGATCTCATGAGAAAAAAACTGTAAGTAATAAATTCTTGTGAATTGTTTGGTTTCGTTTAACTCATGACTGCTACAGATCGAATATGCTAGAACTCAGCTGCATTCTGTTTATATTCAGCTCAAAACCTCATGAAAATCTGTTTGAAAATTATGTTGTTCGTTGATATAAAGAAAAAATTTAAATTTTTTTCTTTCTGAAGTGTACTGAATTAATATGATAACTGATAAGACTTCTGACCGAATTTATACTACCTGTAGACTATATACTTCGTCGATATGATACAAATAGACTGGATTAATTTATAACTAGAATATGATTCGCGACAAAATAAGGCTAACCAAAGTCCATACTAGACAACAATTTATTCAACACAATTTTAAAACAGTCTACACTCAGTGAGTCCACTATAGGAGTCAATAATAACATGGAAATCCCACACCAAACAGTTAGTGTCTGTCAGTACACCATCAGCACTCAGTCACATCTTACTTTTGCTATCATAAGTCATGTGTTGTTTTAATTTACAATACAAGAATTTTTACTACTTACCTAAATAATTCCACATTATGCCAGTTGGAATCCGTAACACTATGTGTAGTCAATGCAAACCGTTGAGATCCGCTTCCCATATCGAAAACAAAATGTAAATAACCTTTGATTAATTCAAATGCTAAAAAATCAACACCATATTTATCTGAATTGAATAATATTAAACCGTGTTCTTGAGATGTACGAAATGTAAACTGTAAACGGAATTTCTCATACAAATGCATAGATGGACTATGTAGGTAACAATCGGATATTTTAAATGTTATAAAATTGATTGTTTTTATCACTTTGTTCAATGGTGTTGTTATTGATGTTGATGATAATGATGAATGATAGTAGTCACCATGACTTTCTACGGATTTATTATTATGTAATTTGCGTTCTTCTCTGAGATGATATTGATCTGTAGTGTTTGCTTTTATACATCAACAATTCAAATATGAATAAAGAAAAGGGTAAATAAATATCAGTTACTTATAGTCTGAAGTAAATATAAGAGTCAATACGTGATACGTTTGTACCTAAAATTCTACAAATTTTGATGTATACAGGAAAAAACAATTGTTTATATAAAGAGTCACAATATCAATTCTAGAACTTGATAAACACGGCAGACACTTATCAATAGTGGATGTCTGAAGCACCAAAGAAGATCGTTACTATATTCCTTACCATACTTTAATTCACTTTACCTGAACGATATAAATCATTACAAACAAATCCCTCAATGATCATGCGTTTATGATATTAGGTTAAATTAGTTACAATTTGTTCAAGATTGTAGATGTATCTTGCGGACGAGTATCAACTAACATGAGGACTAGATTCAGGCAGGGTTACCTGCCAATCATCCCTATCCACCTTAAATAAAAGAATGAAAGCATAATGTGAGATAGTTAGAATAGTGATATGGATTATACTACTACCATAGTTCATAGAAAGAGGCAATATGGATTACAATGATAAGTGCCCTATCAATATTATTATTACTACTATTATAATACTGGTAGTAGTAAAATATTGGTGATATAAACAGACATTTGAAAGTCGAAAGTTAGTTAGAGCTTAAGCACAAATGGTTTGTATACTATGAAAGAAGAAAATGTATAGGTAATAAGTCCAAAATATATAAATAGCAACGAATGAACACGAAAAGCTGATTAAAAAACAAACAAATAAATAGAGATTGAAAGAATTAGACAATGCATTCATTATATCTTCTTTGGTTAAGAAAGAATAAATAGGAATATAACTAATGGTTAATGTAAAGAAAAACTAGAGTTGATTTTTCGTGATCGCTATAAGTTCCTCAGTATGTATGAGGCATGTCTGGAATTTAGTCGAGTGAAAATAATAAATAGTATGTTGAGTGTCTCTAAATATTGGTTTTATTTATGATGGTCACTACTGACGATGTGTGATTGGCTTACTATTTTTCCTTACATGCTTGCAAATAAAGTAGTGTTTTAAAGTGGGATATGATGGAAATCTAATTAAACACAGAAACAAAAGTTATTAGCAGAGATGGATGATGCCTAGCAGTGGAATCCTGGACGTGAGTTCGAACCCATTCGGGACTAGTCAAATGGATGTACCTTCATTCCTAAGCGTCAATGGAAGGATTCAAACAACCAATACAAGATGAAGTCATAATGAGTTTTGTATTTTACTCTATCTTGTACAATGTAAATTTTCAACATTATAATGAATTAAAATAAAATGAGCGTCCATTTGTAACATAGTTAAAATTGAATAGTTCATTATTTTTAAACGGGTAAGATAGTGTTGACCAGTGTTGAACTTCTATAAGTTGTGTCTTGAGTTCTCTTCAACTTTGAAAGAATATCCACAGTCTTACAACATTAAAAAAATCTAGACTAAGATAACTTTCATCAACAACTGGGAACTATTTCGGAACCTTCATAGATCATATTCATTGACTAGTTATTTATTGATATTCTGGGTTATTTTTATCACTAACAACATATATACTCAATTGTATTTGAGCAAAAATAGTATTTAAAACTATAGTGAAAAATGTTTATAACGATTGCTTGAGTGCCCTGTTAGTATATGAACGTTTTGATTCACGTCAATTAGAGAGAGGCGAATTTATTGATCACCCAGTGATACGCAAAGCCTTTTGAGCAGTCTTGAGCACTTATCTGCCTAGCTTAGCCAGTTAAGTCCAGAACATCAATAACAGCCTCTGAAATATGAATAATTATTCTCAAACATACTGGGTTTATATACCAGTCAAACAGACCACATCATACCATAAAATAGAAAATAACATTTGTACAAGATTTGGACAAATGTGGTTGTGAATAAGGGGAACAGTAATTAATAGACTAGGGATAATTCAAGAATGGTAAATCGTATAATAATAGTCTATGAGTCAAAAAAAGCATATAATAAGAGGGACACGAGTATGAATAGTTTAGTTACTTAACAATTATACAATAGGAAATATACATATCGCATTGGTCCATAAATAGTCCTCAAAGTTACCATACATAATTCTCCATGGGATACAACAAAAATAAACTCAAACCTCAGAAATCATTCAGAATGTATATGATTTTCTATTTCGCACATTTACCTGCATTAAGTTAATATTTGATAATGAATTTCGTAAAATAGTAAGTCTATTATCCATTAGGGATATTTTTAGCATATCAGTCTTTGTTATTAATTATGTAAACGTGTGATCTATTGTGGATTGATGAACAAAAAATTATCAAAGATCGTATGCATGAAGGCTAATAGTTTACTTTATGAAACGTAATACATAACTTGGGTGCACATCAGCTCTATATGTTATGGCCATCTAATGCCGGAGAGTAATTTGTGATAAAAACACAGTTCAATAAGTTAGACATTAACACCGTTCGATGCCGGCTCAGTGGTCGGTCAATTAAGTGCTCGGGCGCGAGACTGGTAGGTCCTGACTTCGAATCTCGCGAGTCGGGATCGTGGTTGCGCACTTCTGAGGAGTTCCGCAATTGGACGAAAGAGCCATCCAAAGCTTCCAGGTTTTCCATGGTCCAGCTTCAGTTGACTCATAATCTCAACTATATAAAGGAACATAATAATTGGTTTTTCCTACTTATAGTTACAGTCTGTAATTACAATGACAAAAAGTCTGATGTTTGACGTTTACCTAGTATTATATTGAACTATTTCTTAAGTAGAATACTTAGAAAACAATAAAAATATCCTCTCCTGATTATTGGAGTGAAACAAAATTACTTACAAGATATCATGTGTATCCGCTTGAAATTCAATTGTGATTCATTTGATTGGTTCATATCTTTGTGAAAATTAATTTGTGTTTTATAATTTGGTAAATCGACCTACATAGTTGATTAGACGATGAAATGAAAAGGAAAGAACATATACATTGAACATAAATAGAAAGCAAATATTTTCATATATTATTGGTAATTATTTATTATAATTTTATTAGTTTAATTCAAAAGTTGATTTAGGTCAGACTACCATTAAAAACCTGGAAGCACGGGGCGGCCATTTTGTCCAAGTATGGGACTACACAACAGCGCATATCTACGATCCCACATGCAGAACTCAAACCCACAACCTTTAAACTCGTGTGCGAATGCTCAAACTGTAGACCATTAAACAGGCATATAAAGGTGGTAATGTCTAACTTCAATCGATCCATGATCTTGTGCAATTATTCATCTATGGTACGAGGTAGATAAATGTGTCTACCCAAAACGGATTGAACTCTACTGGTTACAGCTTCTCACTAGAACTCCAGGAAATCATTTTTATGCCAGTCACTATGATTAGCATGGGAGGTTTGTGATGACCATAGTAATAAAATAGATGAATTCATGAGTCGATCTAAAATAGTGCTTCCAGGCTTTCAGTGGTGGTGTAGTGTAGATCGACTCATGAATTCAATTGCTAGCATTGCTACAATCTTAACAAATACTGATTCTGATAATTATTTACTAGTCCAAAGAGTGATTTGTATGGTGTTTATAGTGTACCATGCATATTGCTATGCTGAATATCATAATACTTGTCAGTCAGTCACAACGTAGAACCTGGTATGTATGTAAATCAGTTTGAGTTGTCATATCCAATTAGCACAAACAGATGAAACTGTTAGGCCGAATCCCAGAATATTAGAGATGGTAGCAGTATTAGTGGTAATAGAAAAATTTAGTCGTCCAGAATACGATCCCAGAAAATATAAATTGGTGAAATTAAAACACAAAGAAATTCAGAAGCTCAGGATTTTGGACAAGACAGAGAATCGATGTACCTGCATCATTGAAGTTGTTAGAAGTCAATCGAGCTGTTTGAGTCTATGCCGAGATTCGGTCAGACAATATACCATCAGGACTGACAAAACTCCAAATATATGTGAAGCGGTTAATACGTCCAACTTCTTCATACGTTATCATTAATTTTAGACGCCCAAGCAAGACAAATTTTAAGCCATGTTTCATATTTGGAGGGGAAAAAACCTAATCCCGAACATGCTTGTATCGTTGCTTAAAGTAGTTAGAAGACTTCACATATAATCAGCGTCTTCATCAAGCAGAACTATATTATCTGTATTTTCTAATTCAACAAATGAACGTCCTAACTCTCTAAAATGTCATATCTTGAGAGTGCAATTTCTGATTTCATATCTATAACATCACGACCAATATACTACTTGTGTTCAAAGTTTCCGTTGCTTCTAATCAGTATGAAGTACTCAAAGTATCATCTCTATTATTCATCAACATGAGTGGTAGTTATCTCAGGTTAGACTACCTCTTATTTATTGTTTGAGCATAGTTTGATCAAAACTCAAATTCAATCACATTCTTATTTAAACTTTTCATTATGATAAACCTTTGCATCTACCTTGTTTTTAATCTAAACTTTCTCGGATAGTAAACATTTTAATTATCTTCTATTCATTAAAACAACATTAATCAGTCATTGTAAAACCGTTTCATTAGTATAGAAAGTCCTTCAGTAATATAAATTCGATAAGAAAACAATAAAACATGAAAACATTTGTTAATTTCATATCAAATGACAGCTTTAATAGAAACATAATACAAGGATAAACTAAATCAATAGGAGTAATAAAATCGATTAATTAAAATGTTTTGTTTTGTTTTATGAAATAACAAAACTCTTATGATTAGTGTTGGGGAATTTAGTTTCTATGACAATAATCAATTTTATTTTCACTCAGAACATATTCATATATATATATATATATATATATATATATATCGTATATTAGAATGGGGTTATATGGAGATTTTAGTAATTTTATATAAATGAAACCATTAGTCAACTGAAGCTGGACCACCATGGAAAACTTGGAAGCACTGGACGACTGTTTTGTCCTATTATGGGTTCGCATTTTGCGAGGTGAGATCATGGATGCGTACTGTTGAGGAGTCCCACAATAGGACGAAACGGTTTTCTATGGTAGTCCAGCTTCAATTGACTCATGATTTCAATTATATATCGTATATTGTTTGAATTTAAATCAAACCACTGTATATTATTTTAATTGAATGAAAATTAAATTTTCTTTTGTTGCTAAGAGAAAATTTCACCATCCTACTTATCAGTAATAAACAAAATTAAACATAGAATTAAATTACTATTCATTGTTGATAGTAAGGACTAAAATTAATCAATCTAATGTGAAAAATATGTAAATATTGTGAGGATCATCTTGATTTCCGTATCAGTTAAGATGGTTTTTAGACAAGGATTGTTAGTGGATAGATGTCAATTATAAAACAAGTGTTTTGTATTATCTGGGAATCATTAGCTGAATGCACCAGTATACCAATGTTGATGTTGACTAAAGACTGGCTGCAGTCCTTACTGCCAAAAAATAGATTTAGACCCTTACAATCAAATGATAACTCGATTCCATCAAAGAAACCATTGTCTACTTGTACTCATTGGATAAGTGAATAATGGATTGCTGAAGGAGTCGGAAGTAAGTATGACCACTACATACTACTAGTGTAATGCTACGGTGAAGGCTAACACTACTAAAGTTGACCATCTAAAGGGCTTACTTATGCCTATTACTCGTGGAGTATAAGTAACTGACTAGGATGATTAGGGAATAACAATTATAAAGGTTGCAAAATTGGTCAGTTGACCTTCTGTCCCTTTGCTCATACAATCAATCAACTGATGAAAATAATTAGGCCGCGAATATTATATCAAAAAATATTCAGAAGTTAACGAAAATGACAAACTCAAAATTTCAATACTGTAGATCCTCATACAAATTATAATGCAGATGAAATGAATTGTCAGCTACGTTGTTCGAAATAGATGTATAAGATAACATACCTAGGATAATAACATTAACAAATTGTCTTTTATTTCAAAAAATCACACCGCATGTTGGAAGTTCACTGTTTATTTAACGTTTTGATTAGTTTTAGAGGTAAACAGACAGTTAGTCAATCGGTTAAATTTCAAACCGTTAAAAATTTTATTTCCTTTCCCGATATTCGCCTTTATCAATATACATTTTTTCGATAGTATCCCTTTTGCCTTCACCTTGATAAATAACTGCCCGAAATATTGGATCCATAATACTGTTTTAAGTTTACTAACATAATGTATTTACGAAAGATATAACTAACGATTTTATTGATGTTGTTGTGAAATGGCAAGGAAAATTGAAATTTTCCACTGAAAAATATTGTACATCCGAACAGAAATGATACATGATAATGTGAATAAGAGGTGAAGAATTTTTCAAAGTTAAAAACTAAGATCATTAAAACGTTACTGTAGTTGAATCACTGTCTATCATCTCTTGCAATTGTAATCAAAAGGGGTTTTGTGAAGATTTAGCATTTTTATAGTTGAAAGCATGAGTTAATTGAAGCTAAACCATCAAAGAAAACCTGGAAGCACTAAACAGCTGTTTCGTCCTATTATGGGACTCTTCACCAGTGCACATCCACAACCTCGCTTTGCGAGATTCGAACCCAGGATCTACCAGTCTCGCGCCGTCCAGCTTCAATTGATTCTTACAATTGTATCAATAATTCAGTGTGAACTTCACCTTAGATCAATAGAAACCAAGTATTACTTGCAAGATACCTATTCAAACATATTTGCTACATAAATAATTCATATTTATCATATTATTATTATATATCAGAGGATACAATCAATAATGGGTGACTTACCTTAAAAGATTGAAACATATTTTCACTTGTCTCTATACACAGTAAATATTGACTAATAAAGACAATAATTATCATGTCATCAATAATACAAATATAAACAATATCATTGTAGCATTACAATTGACAGTATATTCTATTGTTCAAAATGGAATTGAATCATCTTGATGTGGAAAAATTGGTGATGAAACGAAGCACTGACTGATACAATGTCTCTTTTTTAAAATTTATCTATGATAAGAAATAAAACAATAGACAAAGTGAAATTAATATATAAGATATTTCGTCTAAATTAGAGCGAATAGTTTTACAGTATTTACGTATCAAGTGTTGATGTAAGACATGAAATAGGAAGAATAATTTATTTGTAAAATCTCAGCGAATGAATTTGAATTAGATCCAATGTTTCACCTGACAATCTGGTCCAAAATTTTTCAAGGAATTATTATTGATAATTCCTTGGATTTCAAATTCATTTGCTGAAATTTTACAAATATATAATTATTCCTATTTAATACTGAAATTAATATCCCATTACTGTGTTGTTCATATATCAGTAATGTATATATATTATATAGTTAGATGTATATATAACTCGATCAAATATCATTACAATTGAATGGGATCTATGGGTAAATCAGAATATTGACATGATTAAAACATGTTGTAATTCGTATCGTCTTAAGTTACTGCTTTTTATTTGACATTATTGTTGGTTAATCACGATTATTCTTAGTACTGTAAGCTCTCCTTGATATATACTGTAATTAAAATGTGAATAAGTGAATAATTTAGAGTAGTTGATATAACTCCATTATTATATTTTATCATTACTTTATTCGTTTTTCTCAATACGTAGACCATGGTCATATGTTATAATATATCCAAAGATAACATAGATTGAAAATGTTATCACATATTCGGATAACAATGGGTTATGTTTTTGGTAGTCTGCTTTATTTCGATGAAACTTTAAAAAAATGCTGAAATAAATTTTAATCAATAATTGTCATATTAAGACAAAGATTATAAGCAAAGATGGATAGTGACAAGCAATGGAATCCAGGACGCGCGTTTCATCTAATTTGAGACTCGTCAGCTGGATGTACCTGCATCTCAGAGTTGATGTTCACTCTGAAACTGGAACCCAGTACTATTCACTTCAAACGTCATCACGTTATTCGCTTAGCCACTGAGTCCTGATGGTCAACTGCTTGTTCAATGGGGTGAAGTTGCTTATAAAGCTTGCGATTTCAGGCAATATCGAGGCAGTCCACATAGGATAAACATATGCCAAAAAGAGACTGATCAATGGCAGTCAAATATAACAATAGGAATATACAAAAAAAAAGAAACAAAAAGTGGAAGAATATAAGAACTATGCGATATAATAAAGTAATATATTTAGAGCAATCTAATCATAAACATTATGTTCTCAACCTAAACCTACGCTGATAATATTCTTTACCTAACTAGTGTGCTAAGTTTCATATTGTTTCCCATATTACTTTCCTTGTTATCTTCGGGTTTTTTCTTACCTTCTAAATATCTAGTAGACATTTTATTATTTATATGCAATTTGCGTTAATCTAAAAAGAAGCGCTAAACATTTTGGCAAATAAACATACATAGTGATTATAATTTTTAAATTTGTCAGTGTGTAAATCTACTGTTCATTTTGAACAAATGATTATTAAAACAATCGTCAAATTAAACTAATATCTATTCTGTATAATATAATCCAATAATTCATCAACACTGTACATAGATATTCGACAGGATACTTTTTAAAAATTCTGGTAACATCTCATTAAGTAAATACGACAAATCAATCGATCATATTTGAAAACTATGTAATAAATCACTTTACTCCTTGACATATCACTGTTAAAAATAACAATATATCAGTTCATTAGTTAATAAGAAAAGATTAAAAGCAAAGATAGATAGTGATTGGGAGTGAAATGTAGGACACGCGTTTCGACCAATTTGGGACTCGAGGCAATACGCACAGTATGCACGTATGCCAATAAGAGACTGATCAATTGCTGGCTTAAACATCAATAAGTAGACTCAAATAAACGATATCAAGTGAAGAACAGATTAAGATAATAATCAAAAACTGGATCAATAAAAATTCACTCAGTTGTGTAAATCATCAATACTGATTTAGTGAAGAGTATATATTTTACAGAAATCGATGAATTGATTGGAACAAAATATAAGTTATGAAGTTACATTTAATGGGTATTAGATGCACTGTAGTAAATAAACCACGGGTAGGGGACAATTGTATGTATTTCGACACAAATTACAGACTATCTCATTAAATTCTGATAACTACACAGTAAACAGTTAATTTGCAAAATAACCAACAATTGTCTCAATCTTCAATGTTCCTTCTGTAAATATCAATCCATCTTCTTTAATTCCACTGTTCATGCATTTTCCTACCATCTGCGCTTCATTTCAGTTCTTTCCTTATCGGTCTTCTGCCAAAATACATTCTATGTATGGCTTTCGCCATATACTACTTATATGGATATAAGTAGACCATACTACAATACATCTTTTTAAACTAAACTTTTAATACACTGTACCTTATATTGCTATAAAAAACCCAATGAGGTATATAGGTGATTAAGTTAAATATTGTCAATACTTTCTAAAATAATGTCACTGGTACTAGTAGTCGTAAATGTAATTCATATTCATTATTTTGGTTACCAGTATAATGGAGGGCACCCATTTGATTCACTTGAGACTAGTCAAAACGATGTAACTGAATCTCACTATTACCGTTTACACCTATCACTTTAAAATAAATGCATTACTTACTAAAAAAAAGACATAGCTAACATAACTACTGACATATTTAACTAAAGTTAAAAATGATATTCGGGACGATGTATCGACAATAAAGTGTATATATTCCAATGAACAGTAGAGTACTCAAAAACTTTCTTTAATATCAAATACTGAAAAATATAATTTCTCCCAATAAATCAATAAGATAGTAGTGATACATTTCGAAATATGACTGTAGACTTGAGTTTATTTTACTTACATAAGAGATACATTGTTTTTTGGTATATACATCCTGAGTTACTTCAATCATATACAGAATACTATGTATATTCATTATAAATGCATAACATTTCCTTATTTTAAATATTAATGAACGTAATTACAATGTGGTAGTTTTACTATTTTCATTTTATTCAGTTAAGTTAGAGTGACAGAGTCATTGACTATACTTGGTTGATTTTCAGTTGTGTATATTTTTTCTTTACCTCTATACAATATTTACTACTTATAAAGTATTTTTCAAAGTTGAAATCATGAGTCAACTGGAGCTAGACCACCATCGAAAACCTGGAAACACTGGACGGCCGTTTCGTCCTACTATGGGACTCCTCTGCAGTGCGTATCCACGAACCCACTCTTGTGGGATTCGAACCCAGGACCTACCAGTTTCGAGCCGAAGCCCTTAACCGATAGACTTATAAAGTACTTATAAAATAATAAAATAATACGAAATAATTAGTGTTTTACCATTAATACATCTTTACATATTTTTTTAAAGAAATATAAATTTCCTTTTTCAATTTATTATTTTCTGGAGCTGTATGGTAGAATCATGGATGGGTGCTGGAAAAGAGTCTTCTACTAGAATGAAACAACTATCCACTGGTTCTTGATTTTCAAGACTATCTGGCTAAGATCCGAATGTAGTTGAATCTATAAAAATATGTATTTATTTATTACTGAAAGATGATTTTTATTATTCCCATTGTTGATTCATTCATTATGAATTCGTGTAATTTCCAATTGTCGGATTTTATCAATAAAATGAAAAATGGGAAAAACAAATTTTTCATTCATTCATTTGCCTTTTGGATAAGTTAATTTTTATGGTTAATTTTATGATAGATCAACATTGTCATACTCATTTGATCCAGTGTGTTTAAAAATGAACAATCACATAGTTGCGAATCAAATTTTGGACAGTTTAAAACAGAATTGTATCCAACTGAACTCAAAATAAATTTTAAATCCTGGCAAGATTATTCTGACAGCTTGATTGATGAGAAAATAGTCAACTGATTAATGTATTGAGGTATAAGTATTATATATTTATAGACGATAATCCCGTTTCAAATAATTTGACTGTAGTGACATATTGTGAATTACTTGATGTTTCTAACCGGGTTTTCGAATTTATTAAATATCGCTGGTTTACATCGGAATAAGCTTTATTTTATAAATAGATCTACATCAATCATCCTACTCATAGAATAATAATAATAAAGATCATTTTTATTTATGTATAAAATATAATCTTTAAACTAATAGACAGATTTCACTGAAATCATAAACGAGACAAGGTTTGACAATCGCTGAAATCCCAGAAGCACAAGATGTCGGTTTCTTCCTAGTACATGATTTTTCAGCAGTGAACATCACTACCCAGCAAGCAAGAACTTGACTCAAGACTTTTAATACACTATGGAAAACAGATAAGTGTTATTTCGAGTGTCTAATGATCGACAAAATCTAGATTGGTATAGTTGAAGAAATTCAATTAAAACTCATGATTTTAATTAGATAGCCAATACATTTAACATACAAATCAGTTCTGTGCTAAACAGAATAGTGACATTCTTAATGATCTAAATTTGTACGTGAGGCTGTGGACTGAGCGAAATCAATGGTCATGCTTAGAATAGGATGATTAGTTTAAAGTTTCCAATCAATTCATATGCTTGAAGTATGAAATAGGCCTTTTATTTACTTTTGAAGAATCTCATGACAGAAATAATGAATGAGAAGTCTAAACTCTTAGCGATAACTAATTGTTAGTACGCTTTGGTTTCATCATTAAATGTAGATAAAAGTCGTTTATATGATTACCGTTATTATTATCGCTTTGATTATTTATAGATTATTAACCTGTTTATATACTTTTTAAAGTGACTTTACCTATATTACTTGTTTTCTAAGATGTATATATATCCCTATACACTTTGAATATTTTTAATTTACCAAATCAATTGGCAGTGTCTATTATTAAACGTATATTTTTTTAATAGTGGCATTCATATTAGCTGATGGTAAAAAATAAGTCTGCCCAAAAAAAGAAAACTGAGAGTGTTATATAATGGTTTTGCGTAAGCGGTGTAAAAACAGCTATCTCTACCCGGTAGTTCTGCCGTGTTTCGATGTAGCATTCTTCTCCAGAAAGGCCTACCAGGCTTCGCCATGTTCCTATGGGTGTCATATTAGCTACTTAGGCAAATTATACATGAAACCCTTAGATTTTTAAATGATACGTTGGATAACTGAATCTTATTTATATAAAATAAGAAATTCTGAAAGTTACGAGGATTCACAAATTATTTTTTTTTGTAACAATGACTGTTATTACCCTTGTGGTGTGGTCTACTTATATCCACATAAGTAGTATATAGTAATTGTCAGACATAGAATGTATTTTAGCAGAAGTTCGATAAGGCAAAAACAGAAATGAAGTGCAATCGGTACGAAAATGCATGAACAATGAAATCAGAGAAGACGGACTGATATTTACAGAAGGAACAGTTAAGATTGAGACAACTGATTGTTATTTTATAAATTAACTGTTACCTGTATAGTTATCAGAATTTAGTGAGATAATCTGTAATTTTTGCTTAAATACATTGAATTTTTTTCACTCGTGTTCTCATTCACTACAGAATAAATAAAAGAACTAATTACCAAAGAGTGACATGTTCATGAAATTCCTGTTAAGATCATTGGTAACTAGTCTAACGTAACACAAATATAACAGAAAAATCATTTAAAAAGATGTTTTTCAATCAAAATTTTACGAAATATCTTGCGGAAACTTTATAATACCAAGAAGAAATGAAATAAAATGAAACATTATATATTTCTTTGATGATTTTGGTTACTAGACTGATTAAGTTCAGATAAGTTAATTGCTCTGGCTCGAGACCGGTAGGTCCTGGGTTCTAATCTCGCTCGCGAGATCGGGTTCGTGGATGCGCACTGCTGAGGAGTCCCATAATAGGATGAAACGGCCGTCCAGTGCTTTCAGGTTTTCGATGGTGGTCTAGCTTCAATTGACTCATGATCTTAACTATAAAATTACTAAATCTTCACAAAAAAAACCCTTGTGATAATGATCATCTGCTCACTAGTGACTGGCTCCTTGAGGTATTTTCTGGAGTTCTAGTGAGAAGTCGTGGACAGTGGAGCTAATCCATGTCAGGTAGAGAAAGGTATCTACCTCAGTACATTGGAATTTGGTTGCGCAATTACGTGGATTGGTTGAGGTTATACATCAATACCGTTGAATGCCAGCTCAGTGGTCTATCGGTTAAGGGCTCTGGCTCGAGACTGGTAAGTCCTGGGTTCGAATCTCGCTCGCGAGATCGGGTTCGTGGATGCGCACTGCTGAGGAGTCCCATAATAGGACGAAACGGCCGTCCAGTGTTTCCAGGTTTTCGATGGTGGTCTAGCTTCAATTGACTCATGATCTTAACTATAAAATCCAGATAAATTAGCAGGACGAAACATTGGAATCAAATGAATTTCAATTGTTGAGATTATTTCAAATATAATTTTCACTTATAATGACTTCATTATACTTGACAACCAATTTTTATCAAGCTATTCGTTCTAATCTTGACAAATATTTGTATAAATTTGAATAAGGATTCGAAAAAATTGATCGCAATTAAAAAGTAAATTCCATCGAGAATATTAACCGTTTTTCAAATGGTATTGAATATAGGACATTAATTAGGAATAATATATTTGTAAAATCTCAGCGAATGAATTTGAATTAAATCCAACATTTCGCCTGACAATCTGGTCCAAGCTTTTTCAAGGAAATTTATATATACATATATATTATTCCTATTTAATATCTTACATCAACTCGGCGCCTAAACACTGCGAAACCATTCGTTCTAATTTAGACGAAAGTTCTTATATAAGGTAATGATTATATATTCTGTCTCAAAATAACTCAAATGTATGTAAATATAGAAATTATTTCACAGTAAACATGTTTAATTATACAACTCTCCAGTGGTATTTATTCACAATAATAAACTAGATCTGTGTACAAAAATAAGTAGTATGTATATTAACTTATAACACAACATATAAAACCCAGTAATTTGGTCATTTCTTTAAAATTAAAGCATCCTGACCTAATGATGTCAAGCGTTTAACCGCGAGACTGAAGATCCTGTGTCTGAGTCTTGTGTGTTAGGTTGAGGAGTCCTATACTAAGACGAAACGACTGTCCAGTGATTCCAGGTTTCCACTAGCGATCTACCTTTCATAGACTCATGAATTCAACTAATGAAATTAGTTTATTATTCTGAAAATTCATTGAGAGTTCCGTTATTTCAGTCCGTTACTTAGACACATTTAATTGTTGATTTATTGCTAGTTCAAGACATCCAAATATATTTATATCGAGCAAACATTTAAATGATATATTTTTTATTATTGCATTACGGGTCATTTTATTCAATGATTATTTTTTTAATAGTTGAATTCATGAGTCAATTGATGTCAGACCACCATAGAAACCCTGGAAATACTGAATGGCCGTATTTCCTGGAGTTCTAGTCAGAAACAGTGATCAGTGGAGTTCAACTGAGTCTGCAGTGAGATAGTAATTCACTGAAGGCAATAGGTGAACGGTTGCTCAACTTCGCCGATTATCTGAAGTTGAACATTACCACTGTTGGATGCCGTGGATTTGCGCTTGCACGTGAGACTGTTAAGCCCTGGGTTCAAATCTTGTGATGCGGGATCGTGGATGCGCACTGCTGAGGAATCCTACAATAGGACGAAACGGCCGTCCATTCCTTCCAGGTTTTCCACGATGGTCTAGCTTCCAATGACTCATGATTTCAACTATAAAATTACTAAAATCCCCATAAAAACCCTTTCTGATTATTTTTTTGTTTTGCCAAGACGTAATACTTCCAAATGTCTTTGACTAGATTTTACAAGCAATAATTATAATATAACAATTATAATGTCATTATTTGAATTGAGTCTCTTCTGCCTTTTTAATGATTTTCTATTAATTAAGTTCGAGAAAAGCATACCATAATTATTTTCCTTGTACCTTTGCATTGCTGATCTTTAGTCTTGTTTACTTTTTGCAACAAATCACGTCATTTACTGCTATCTATTTACGTAAGCTCCCTTTTTCGGTCACAATGTTCGTTTAATCGACTGGAATCACTCCACTTATGCACAAGTTGTTCAACTTCACAATGATGTCTTTGTATTTAACCCTTCAAAATAGAAGAATCTCTTACCACCCATGAAATGAAGTCTGAACTGTGAGTACAAAAATATTACATCCTACCCTTATTTATATATACAGAGAGAGAGAGAGAGTCAGAATAATCCCCTGGTTATTACTGAACATAAGAACATTGTGAAATATTAATTTTTATCACTAGGAAATGAATTATTTGATCTAGCATTTATTTAGTAATGACCAATCCATACGTAGTCATTTTCGGTATATACATTTCTATGATTATTATCATTGCATTTATGAAGAATAGGGTCTGATTATCATGGACGAATGCTGATGCTAACTAGTCATTCATTCATTTATATATGATTGGTATATTTCCAAACTATACACTGCAATCAAAAAATTAGTCCAGTATAGTTATAACTATATAAAGTGATATGAACTAAATGCAAATTTGACTTAGCTTAAATTAGAAATATTTTAGATTTCACTAAAATGTTTGTAATACTAATTATCTAAGTTTAAGTAGCAGTGATTTCGGAGTATTTCGCTGTCGATATTTCCAACTGAATCTTGATCATTCCTAGTTTTTGTGCATACATTCAAAGTAGATAGACTCAATATAACCATTATTACACACAAGAAAAGAAGATACATGACCAACAGTAGAATCTAGAATGTTCAATCACTTTATTTAGGAATAAAACTCTGAAGTATACATCAAATCTATGACTTTAGTACATTCAGCTGACGAGTTCCAAAATGGGACAAAACGTACTTTCCTTATTCCTCTACTTACCACATTTCATTTATTCTATATTTAATAATTAGAATAATTTTGAACAATGACTTAATCAAATACTGTGAGAATGCTTACGTCATAATAATCTAGTCGATTATTCAAACATTATATCACGAATTGAAATCACTTTATCTTCTATAACAATTCTTCTTATGGGTGTTTTGAAGCAGATTATCATAATAATAAATCCTCATTGTTTCATTCAATTTCCGTAAATAATAACATATAGTTACTGAATATTATATCCGTTCGTATCTATCCATTCATTGTTATTTTATTTCCATAATTGAAACCTTCAGAAGAGAATCTGATACATATTAATAAGCATCTATTCTAACAAAATCTTATTTCAAATATCTAGACAAATAATTTTAAAAAAAAAATTAAATAAATGTGATATTCATTTTTGTACTTCATATTCAGTAAGGTCATCTTTTGATTGGTTGATTCATTAATAACCAATCATAATAAAGAGTTTGTTTAAATTCTATTCACTAAATTATACTGTAAATAAAAAATGTAAATTTTTTTTTATATACAGTTGATATTCACGAGTCAATTGAAGCTAAACCACCAGGGAAAACGTGAAAGCACTGAGCAGCTGTTTTTTGTTATTGCGGGACTCCTCAGTGGTGCGCATCCACTATCCTGCCTCGCGAGATTCAAACCCAAGATTTATCAGTGTCGCGCACGAGCACTTACCTTCTAGATCACTGAGTCAGCTGGCATCCAGCAGTGTTAATGTCTAACTTCAACCAATTCATGAAGTTGAGCAAGCATTTCACCAAAGTCTTCAGTGAGTTGATATCTCCCAACATACCTGGTTAAACTTCACTGGTCACTGCTTCTCACTAGAACTCCAAGAAATACCTCATGGAACCAGTCACGAATGAAAATATAATAAGGGTTGTTTTTTACAAATTTGTTTAATTATAAATTTCTTTTTTGGATTCGTTCATTTGTACCTTACTTTATTAACTTATAATTTCTATTATCAGATTGTTTTAATTTTATGTTGTTGTCATCATTCGTTGTGATTGACTTTCGTTAACCATTCAATATAACTTTAAGTTAAACTTAGGAAAAACTGAATGTTACGAATTCTTTGATTACTGATTGTTAATTAGACCAATAAAGTTTTATTAGTATCTTTAATTGCAAACTGTTTTTTTTTGTCAAAGACAATAACAAAATAACCATTTCCTACACAGCATGAAACATATGAACATCCACTTATTTAGGTAAACATTGTTACAGTCCAACATATATATATAATCTAATACAGTTAGTGTTTATAAGTAAAGTACATATCATAATTAAATACAATAAATAGTTTTAGATACAGTCCTATGATAAATATAACAAGTAATTAGTTAAGCAATGATTTGGTTAACGATTGAACAGCACAATAAAGACGTTGTTTACATAGGCTTGATTAACAGCTTTGATGAATCTTCATTTAACCAGGTCTGATCATGACTGTTTAAATTCCCTATATATAATGTCTTCTATTAGTTTATGAATGAATTCCAGAACTTAAAATCATTTTCAGGATTCTGCTGTTTTAATGCAGAGATGTTGAAAGCCACCAATTAGACATTTTAAAACAGTCAAGAAATCATCAAGTTATGAATTCCTTGCCTAGATTAGGCATATATTTTCTTGTATCTCATAAGATAGTTTGTAAGGTTTTTTTTCATATCGTTTTGATAATTATGGACCGAGGTCTGTTTGCTGGTATTGGTCCACTTCACATTAATAATTTATTTGTTAGACGTTAATTGTCTTTTCAAGGCTGCAAGATTATGTAAACCAAGTGACTCGAAAAATAACGCACTAACGAATGTATCAACAGGAAACTCCAATTCGCTACATCGTTACTAAAGTTTATCATAAAGTACATTAATACAACATTTGAACTGGCTTAACTAAATATGATTCGCGTAACTTTCAATCTATTATAAATGGCAAATAAGTTTGCCTCGGTATCATTACTTTGCTACAAGTTACACAGAATAGATGGATTTTATTTTACAATGGAATTTGGAGCGGTTTTTTTTATGCCATTTAAGATTTGTTATATCCATTGAACAGGTGAGTGTTAATCTGCATTTTCACTGGATATAACTATGGGAGTTTGAAGTAAAATCTACTGAGTTCATGCTTCTATGTGTATATTATAATTAAAACATTAATACATTAAGCTGGCAACTACCACATTGAACTGGATGTATGTCTGAAATCCTACTGTCAGATGAAACCCATCTATTTTATATAGCTAATTTAGAATTACGTTATACCATTTAAAACGATAAGTTTATATTTGATCTAATATCAAAATGAAAAGAAACCCAATAATATTAATAATAAAGGGAAATTTGATCTAATATAACCTTTGCATTATCTTGATATTTTCTAAATACAAAATATTTATTAAACCAGACTTTCATGTAAAAAAAAACTATCCAATCAAATGAAAAGAATCAACGAAAAAAAGAAAAGAAATCACCTTTTACAAGAGAATAACTGGTGTTTCTATTTTTATCTTGACATTTATTGAGATATTTATTTCTCAATTAGATTGATATTATTTTATATAGTTGAGATCATGAGTCAATTGAAACTAGACCATCATTGAAAACCTGGAAACACTGTGCAGCTGTTTTGTGTTATTGTGGGACTCCTCAGTGATGCGCATTCACGATCCCGCCTCGTGAGATTCGAACTCAGGACCTACCAGTCTAGCGCCCGAGCACTTAACCTCTAGATCACTGAGCCAGCCAGTATCTAACGGTGTTAATGTCTAACTTCAACCAATCCATGAAGTTGAGCAAGCAATTCACCAAAGTCTTCAGTGAGTTGATATCTCCCAACAGACCTGATTGAACTCCACTGGTTACTGCCTGTTTAAACATCTGGGCTACCTGTTCCTGTCATCTAGATATTTCAACATGTTATCTGATTTCGTTTGTTTTAATACATCATTATGCCTATTAATCGCACAACCTATTAAGGTGCGTTTCTGAAAAGTGTAAGACCTTTCGCTGTAAAGATTACAGAAGGCTTATTCAGAGATGTCGTGGTTTCTGGCAATATGCAGCGAATAGAATGTACATTATCCAGATGTCGATTGACTGGGCTGCTTATTTCTAACCGGTGGTCACCCAATATTTATCGTCAGAAAGGACGAAGAAGTAAGAAACAGAAACTTGTTGAAGTACTTTGTGCTGAGAATTCTATATTGTACTAAAAATATAATATTGAATAAAGCTAATAATAATAAGAAGAAGAAGAACTCCAGGAAATACCTCATGGAGCCAATCACTAGTGAACATATGATTATTATCAGAAAGGGGTTTTGTGGAGATTTAGTAATAAAATAATTTAGTGGTTGAGATCATGAATCAATTGAAGCTAGACCACCATGGAAAAACTGGAATCAATGGACGGCTGTTTTGTCCCAGTGTGAGACTCCTCAGCAGTGCGCATCCACGATCCCGACTCGCAAGATTTAAACCCAGGACCTATCAGTCTCGCGTCCGTACGTTTAACCACTAGACCACTGAACTGGCATCCAATGCCTCAAAATAAAAACAAAAAACAAACAACCAAATCCAAACAACTTGTAAATAAACATTGAATCATACAATAGAGAATGATATTTATTTTAATAATTACTGAAATGTCGTAAAATTAAAAACAATGATACTAAATACTACTTTATAAAAGTTTAATGTAAAATATTCATTTATCTATCTGTTATATGAAAAATATAAGTTATGGATTAGGTTTACTTCTATGAAAACACAGAAGAAAATGAAATTACTATTTATTGATGGAATTGAAATAAGAAATCATTATATTCAGAAGGGGTTTTTGTAGAGATTTCAGTATTTTTATAGTTGAAATCATTAGTCAATTGAAGCTAGACCACCATGGAAATCCTGGAGTAATCGGACGGCAGCTTTGACCTACTATGGGACTTCTGAACACTGCGCATCCACAATCCCGCCTCGCGAGCGAGATTCGAACGCAGGACCGATCAGTCTCGCGCTAGAGCACTTAATCAATAGACCACTTAGCCGGCATCCAACGGTGTTTTCGTCTAAGTTCAACCAATCCACGAAGTTCGAGCAATCGTTCACCAATTGTCTTCAGTGAGTTGTTAACTCACAACAGACGTGATTGAACTCCACTGCTCTGGCGCGAGACTGATCGATCCTGAGTTTAAATCTCACGAGGCGGGATTGTGGATGCGCACTGCTGAAGAGTCCTATAGTAGGACGAAACGGCCGTCCTATTCTTCCAGGTTTTCGCTGGTGGTCTAGGTTCAATGAACTAATGATTTCTACTATAAAAATCATTATCTATTTCATTGTGAACTATGAATATGATTAGTCTTAAAATCAAACTTTCATTTTATCTTGTTATATAGTGATATGTGAAATGACCATGTGCAATAATTGTTGAGGTTAATTGATTCGACTGTTTATATAAACATCATATATTATAGCTTTCATATATAAGCCAATCTTCACCCTTAATTTGTTCAATTTTTATTTTCTTGAAGAAAGTACACCAGCTAGTCAGTTAAGAACATCGAACATCAGTTAATATGTATGTGGAACATCAAACAAGATAGTTGATTACTAAATATTTGGTATGTAAACATTTGTATATTACTTATTGTTTTTATTTAGTAATAATGTTACAGTAGATTATTTTAACAATATCTCATTCTCTGAGTTGAATAGTTTAGTAATAAAATGCAAACTTTAAGTAAATGTGAGAATTAATGATATCCACAATTGATTAATCATTGGGTGGTGATCAATGTAATGCGTGTTAAGTCATTCTTAGTGCTGGTTGAATGCTATAGATCAAGTTGCAATATGGCCACTAGTTTAGGTGGCTGGACACTGTGTGCACTATGATGAGATAAGATGGTGGTTGGAGGTGGTCAACATGAAACCCTGAACCTGGGTTTCGTGCTACTTGGCACTCGTCAGCAAGGTGTAATGATAATGTCTAGATAGTTAATAAAAATTCAATTAAAACTAATCAGATTAAAAAATGTAACACCATCGAAAGTAACCATCTGAAATGTTTATCTACTCTATCACGTTTAAAACTGTGTAAATTACTGGATTCTAATGTTTGACTGCTTATGTACAGATAATATCCAAAACAGTATAGGCTACATTTATTAGAAATTTCATAAAACTGTTGTATCAGATGATAATACCAATATTCGTTGGATCATTCTTTTTAGTAGATGATATCTTGATCTATTCAATGCAGTTTCCAGATTTAAACAAAATCTTGATTTTCTTGAAATATATTTAAGAATATTAACAAGGACAATAGCTAATATAAAGTTAAAGTAATTAGTCCCT